AAAAATTATATTTTGTATAAATTAAATCATAAATTCTCTCTTGCAGACCTAGACTTCAAATACTTTTGGAGCTGGACAGACTTCCAATCGTATCTGGACTTTATGCTCGTCGTGTGGGCCGTTGGCGCCGCTATAACATATCTAATGCTGTCCGTGCATTGGTTCATGGAGTCCATGGGCTTTGTGGCCGTCTTCACGGAGGCCATGTTGGGTAAGACCTTAGTGCGGACGCACATCATCAATCTTTCTTCACTTATTTAATTTATTTTTATACATTCTCCATCTAGGGGCGCCGCAATTTCTGCGCAATTTTAAGAATAAATCAACATATGGAATGAGCATACACATGGTGATCATGTGGACGCTCGGTGATATGTTTAAGACTGGTTACTTTATTGTTAGGAAAGCACCATCGCAGTTCTGGATCTGTGGCACGCTGCAGGTAAATATGAAATATATTTAAAGCTATATTTAATTTAATCTAATTCTTATTTCGATTCCTATTAAATTACCTTTTCCAATTCCAGGTCAGCTTGGACATAGCGATCCTCTCACAGGTGTGGTTCTACCGTAAGAATTCCAAGCCGCGCGACCTGCGACGCGGCGATTAGCAGTTTGCCCCCGAAGAACAGCCACAGCACGTCCATCCCCATGATCTACATATATCCAATTCCGAGGAGCATCAGCTATCGCTACCGGTCACCGTCAGCAGCAGTGGGGATGACCATCTACTCACAGCGCGAGCTGACGACGAGCACTTTAAGGTGCTTGACTTTGGTCAGTGCCACGATAACCGTGCGTTCCAGTATCACAATAATAACAAAATGTTGCCCAGACCAGGCGGCAGTGGCAAGAGTAAGGATGATAGCAGCATGGCCGCTGCCCTAGAGGTGGTCATTGTGCATTCACCGGCCTCCAAGGAGCAGCGACTGATCGGTGCTGGTGGTCAGGATGCAAGCAGCACATGCTGTCGAAGGAAGCAGCGTAATAATGCCACCCAAACAAGATCAGACGGTGGCGGAGGCAGTTGCTGCTGTGTGATTACAACGCATCATCACCACTGCCATTGTCATAGGCACCATCATCATTGTCACTACAGGAGCACAAAGAGAAGAGCACTGCTGCACCAGAAGAAGAGTCACCACCACCATAATCGTCATAATCAAAATCAGCACCATCCCATTAAACCTACGAATCCCAACCAAATGCTTCCAATGAACAACAACAACAAGTCTTCCTTGGACTCCAGCGAGGAGGGAATGCATCATCATCATCAGGCCATAGCCATAGAGATCGATGCGGCCAGCGAGGATTGTGAGGAGAACAACAGCAGCACGGCCACCTCCAATTTCCCCTATAAGGTGGCCAGCGAGGGTGTGAAGCCCATTATAATGGCACCTCTGCGGGAACAGCATCGTCACAGGCGGGGCTCTCTGAACTCCAACACGACCATCGAAACTGATGAGCTCTCCCACGACGAGGACGATGATGATGTGCGTATGGGTTCCCACCATTTGCCCGAAGATGAGACCCAACTAACTCAGCCGCCAAATACGAGCTCGAGCAGCTCCACGAAGCGAGGAAATCCGGCCTCTGCACCGGCGAGGAACGAATGTGTGCGGATCAAGAGGAAGAGATTCATGGCCGAAGCCGGACAGGATTACTGCAGCAGCTGCTCGAGTTCCTGTTCCTGCAGCAGCTTGGATGAGGATCATCTGGAGGGTCATCAGGTTCATGAAATGACCGTTTCTGCAGAGTGTCATGAGTGCAGGCGAGGCAGCTACTGTTCGTGTCAGAATTCCAGCTGCTGTTGCGGCTTTGGCTCCCAGGAAGAGGAGGATGAGGAGGAGGAGGAGGCTGACGATGAAGATGATGACGAAACCACAGGTCAAAGGGAAAGTTTCTGCACCGCTGCTGATCACACGATAACTCCCTCTCAGGAGGGTGAGGATATGCACAGCAGTACCCTGACACCCCTCAGCACCCACAGGTCTTCCTTTATAGATCACGCAGATCACACAATGAGGAGCGATGATAATGGTGGCGGCAACCTAACTGATGCCGATGCCTCCTCTCTGAGCCAGTCCGCCGAATACTTCTCGCTATCATCCACCGCCGGAGGAGGAGCCTCAACCTCTTATCCCATCAAGGATGAGAAGCCGAAGGATTCAAAGGAAAGGGAAGTAGTAGATACGCAGCCGTCCTGCAAACACTTGAATCCTCGCAATCCGCACAGCAGACACAAACGCGCCGCTTCTCCCGTGGATAGCTCCTTATGACGAAGTGTCTCGCTGGTCGCCTGGCCAGCCATCGATGTGAATGCCCTGCTGCAGCAGACCATAAGGAAGTCGGCTGTGCTGCAGGAGACGCCGGTACGCAGGAAATCCACTGCCAAAAAGGGAGGTCCAGCCAAGAGCGCGGAGAGTAATGATTCCTCCACGGCCACACTGACGCCCAGTGTGGTTACCGTGGCCAAGTATCCGGGACCGGGAGCGGGACTAGTGAGCACTGTGACCAGTCTGAATGGTTGCGGTACCACCTACAGCTACACCACCACCACGTCGGCCACTCCAAGCTCCAACTCGTCGGCCAGCGGCAAGAGGGGTTCCAAGTACTCGCCCGTGCCCAGCTCGGAGGCCTATCAGTGCGATCCACTGCAGCAAAGCTCGACGGAAATCATCTTATAACTCATACAAGCATACCTCTACGACCATGACTCTTATACAAACCGTATAAGTCAGGGGTTAGGATCGTTAATTAATGGAATGGAATATGTAGAAGACTCGTGCGGAAAGATGGAAGAAAAACCAAAATTTATAAAGCTGTTAATTTTGCTGTTACTCGGGGGTAACAATTATTACAAAGAAGATAAGATAAAGCAGGTCTAGTTTATATACATGTATGTACATTGTTTTTTATGTGAGATCATGCATCAACAGGTTAGCCTTTAAGTTGTAAACTAGTTTACCAACTTTAGTTTCGGACTATTTGAATTTAATGAAGAGAAAAGGGTTTCAGCTGGGGAAGGGACCAAGCCAGAAAGTTGTCACAGCCTTTAAGTTTTCCAATAAATAAGATCCACACAAAACAACATATCCACTTTGTGCGCAACCTTCCCTCAGCTCTGACCTCGAACCTTGTTCAGAATTAAAAACAAACAACAAATTGTTAGTAAATTGTCATTGTTTTTCGTACCTTAGTAACAATTAATTTCGTAGTCTTGTAAGTTCGGAAAACACCAACAAAAATCAATCTTTAATCTCGATATTATTCTTTAAAGAATTTTTAACATTATCATTTTCCTAGCAGAATTTATTAGCTAAGTTCCATAAGAATACTGATTCGAAAATAAACGAAAACCCAAGCAAAACTTATAATTTCCTTTCGTTTTTCTTTACTTTATTAGATTTTTATTTCTTTGGTATATAGCACAATTCCTAAACCTTTAGCTACATATATATTTCTAGAGATTAACTTAAAAAAAAAACCAAGCCTAAAGTGAAAATGAAGCCAAATATCTTCCTTGCAATTTTGAGATTCCGTTGAAAACGTACACACAATTTAAATATGAGATTTATTTTTAAGCCACGTCTAATTGTATTCAAAGTGCTTGAGAATATTTAAGAAATATTTAAAAATCATAATTAACCAATGGGGAATAAAAGGAAAACATTTGTTGATTAGTACGTAGCGGCTATTTTTGATTGTTTGCCTATTGTGTATGGGTTAAATATACTATATAAAGTATCCCTAAAATAACCGATCTGTTGCAGAACGAAGCGCAGTATTGTATCCTTTGTGGAAATCAAATAATCCAAATTTCCACTCCAACTGTAAAACGAATTACTTACTTAAACAAATACTCATAATCAACTACAACAACTGTTATAATAACAACGGCATTTGGAATGTAGATTCTTTTTTCATAACTAAAATGGTTAAATATACTCATATTACTCGTATATAGAGACATATTCGTAAGTCAAGACACAAGCCATGAAAAGCAATAAACTGCAAACGGACTTGTTTGCTACTGAATTTACTTTATCGGTGTTCTAGACATTTATTAAATAAAATTAAACATAAAATATACAACTAAAGGGGAGTGTTTTTATTACATTTTGTAAATTTAAAAGTTTTTACAGTGGGGACAATACCAATAAGCTGAATAAATTATTTATAACTGATATTTGGTAACCTGAGAAATGTTAATAGAGTCAATATAACTCTTATTCGTATATTTATAATTTATTTTAATTTTATTTATTTATATCATTATTTTTTTTTATATTTAATTTTCGGGGGATTCCCCACGACAGAATACCTCTATTACTGAAAATATCGGATAGGGAACGACCCAAAAAATGCACCCTCTAAATTTCAACCAAAACCCAGTCATTAGACACGGTTTTTCCATTTGAATAGTGGGATTTAAATCTATTATCTTTAATTATTTTAAACTACTGAACCTTTTATTTAAAGGGAACACCCCAAATATTTTCTGTTCTACCTTTACCGATATTATTTCGATCTGGCTACTCTGGCCATTGCGCAGTGCACAGTGGTAGAGCTGATTTTAAGTGAAAAGTGGAAAAAAATTTTATTTTCAATTATAATAAAAAAAACATATTATTCAACTTTTATACAAAATAATAATAAAAATAAATATTCTTCGACTTTTTTATACAATTTTAATAATAATAATTATTATTTTTTTTTGTTCTATAAAATATGAAAATAATGATTATTATGATATGATTTTTATTGTAAAAATTATAACTATTATGAACACTGGCTTATGCCCTTCTTCGTAGAACTTTGGTGAAAATGTGGAAACAATATAACAACCATAAGTAATTATGCCCCGGCTCTATATAAACCCAACCACTATGCATTGCCTAGAAGTCTGGCAGTCTCCAAGCAATTTCCAACAGTCTGGCAGCTTGCCTGTTGAAACTTACTGGCAGCTTTTTCTTCGTTTTCCATTCTCTCCTCTCAGATTTCTCTCCGCTTTCCGCGGATTCGCAGCGAAAAAGTGCAGCTAGTGGAAGGAAAAAGTGGTAAATCGGAAAACAAACTGCAGCGGAGTTTTGTTAGCGCGCAATAAATGAGATATAATTCGGCGAAGTCTGCGTTAAATTGCTAATTGCATTTGATTGATTTCGCGTTCGTTTTATTTGCTTGTTGCGCGAATTGCAAGACCAACTGCATAAATACAGAAAACCAAACTAATAGAAAAAACGCTGATAAGCACGATTCGTGGGAAAACAACAACAAAGGCGTATTGCATTTTGCGGTGAGTGTCCCTCTGTGTTGCGTCTCACGGCTATCGCTCTTTCTCTATCTTCCCCTGTCTCCTCTTACATGTATCCCTTTTGGGTTTTTGGCGTCTCACAACAATTTGCCAATTAAAAGCTTTTGACCTCTCGCTCTTGCAAGTAGAACTTTTGTGTTGTTTGAGCTCCTCTTTCGCTCGCTCTGCCGCTGCTCCTCCCTTTCTATCCCGTTTATTCCCCTTCGATTTTCAATTGAAGCATGACACTAACCGAGAACGAGAAGCCTCAAACAATACCGCGCGCGTGTGTGTGTGTTCTTGTCAATTTGTTTGTGCTTGTCCTATTCATTGCACTTTAGCTTTTGACATTGGCTTGGATTTATTTTTGTCCTCAAGAGGGCCACGGGATGCGTTCTCTGTCTCTCTTGCTCTTTCAATGCCAGCTTTTCATTGAACTTGATACTGAAATTTTCAAGTGTTCTTTTTGTGGTTTGTTTTTTGTAGTAGTAGTTTTTCAGGGCTACTGTCATGGTCAAATATTCCAAGATCGAAATCGGATTCTCTATTTTTTCCAAGTTTTAAATTGCATTTGCATTGTCAGGCTAGAGACACAAGATTCACCTTCTCTTTTTTTACATAATTCTATTTTTAATTTTTCAGTTTAATTATCAAAGTTTTTCGTGAAAAGTTCAGATACATCAGAGATAGGCTTTAAAACTCCTTCGGTGGTCTCATAAAAACCTAAACTTTTTATTGCTTTAATGAGCAAAGTTTTTAATTTTCACCAAGTTCTCTTAAAATCTCTAACCCAGCAAAAGCAAATGAAAAATCGCAGCTAAAAATACGAGGCTGAAAAATAAATATGAGAAAAACGGGCCCCCAAATAAAATGCAAAAACAGAACTTTTCCAGTTCGTTTTTGTTGGTTATTCAATTTCCATTCATTGTTTATTGTTGTTCTTGCGCTCTTGCCTCTTATTGCCCGTGACAGTTGAGAAGCAAGGATAAAAGGAAATTCCTAAAGCGGGAGATTGTGGAATATAAATCTAAGCAAATGAATAGAGCTCGGCACAACTGAAAATGCTCAAATTTTATTTACTGCTGACATTTTCACGCCCACCGATACGCACATACTACCAGCCTAGGACACGGCAGGCATACATACAAACATACATTATGTATGTATTAAAATATGTACATGTAGTATATAAGGACGAGGAAAGGCTTCTCCGCGCTATTTGGTATTCATGAATGAAATCAGAGCTCCACTTCAACGGCAACGAAAGGGAGAGAACAGAGGAGCTTCAACGCTAGAGAATCTGCTCATCTCCCTCCTCTCTTCCTTTTATGTCCCAGACTTTCCCGCTGCGTCAACACAATAAGATAGGCGCCAAAGCAAAGCATTTCATACTCTTCCTTTTACAGTGAAAACTACAAATTTATCGCCCACATTTTGTTATTAAAATATATTTACATTTTCATTCGTACATTCTCCAAAAGATATTAAATTTAATCATGTGCTCAACTGAAAAGTGATTATTTAACACCAATTCCATAATCTTCGGTTATTTGTTGCTTAAAAAACAGAAGTCCCGGCTAGAGCAACAATTAAAAGTGGAGAGAAACAGGCGGCGCTCTTGGTATTGTTTTATATCAGAACAGAAGTCGTAAACCACCTTCTATCTGTCTGTCTATTCTAAACTTTGCTTCTTTTATTAAATAAATATTTAATATATTTTTTGATTTGCTGGTTTTAAACGATTTTTCCCTTGAAAACCCATTTTTTCAATTTAAGCACTCTATCTTTAATCTATATATAATTTATAGACCCCATCCCATTATCCAAGTGTCCACTGCAATTGCTATCCTGCTCCCGACCTCCGGACATGCTGTGCATTTAAATCGCACTTGATCAGTGGAGCTTAACTTGGCGGGCGTATGTGGGATGTAGGATGTGGGTGCATCCAAGCTTTTATGGACCAGCCGAGTAGGCATTTTATTTTTACGGCTGAATTAATTTATAGATTTAACCCGGCGTACGCACCAATTGATTATGCATAGCCATGGAAATAAGAGTCCAAGTTGGGAAGACGGAACCCCAGATCCCCGGGGACTCTATAAATAGAAGAAAAGAGCAAAGGGTCGCCGGCAATTATATGAACTTTCCCCTTATCGCATGAATTTATGCATTTTACATGAGAGTGGGAGTGTTTTGCGGCAGGTGATAAACAATTTCCACCGAGCATAAACAATATATGGCAGGTGGTTGTGGCACCAAGTGCGTGTGGCCTTGTGTGTCCTTGTTTTTATTTTGCCCCCAGGTCAGCCATTGACGTCAGCAATGTTAATTTCCTTGTGGTGCAAAGGGATAAGTCATATCATAGAAGTTTGTCGATTAGGGCTCAGACTTCATATAAATAATAATAACTTATGTATATGGATTATAGACATTATTTTCTATAGTGAGTGTTGAAATATTAAGGTCTAGGATAGAACTTCATATATATACAAACAAGAAACGAAATATTCGAGATTTTAACATTATTTCCGATTAAGAAGTAAACCAAACTTCATACATTTTAGGCGGACCTTTTCGTATAGCATACTTTTCGAGTATTTAATGAGCGACTCTCCAAAATTTAATAACCAATCCCAACGTACTGAAAACGCGCAACAGCAGGCACTTGAAGCTTATCTCATGTGCAATAACCGGCTATCCCAAAGTGCTTAACTCTGACACCCGACAAAAGCCGAATTGACAGGTCGTTTCACACACGGGCTATAAGATATGGATGAAAGTAGATACACGGAAAGAATTCGAATAAATTTTCTACCTTTTAGATAAAATTTTAAAGTGTAAATTAAATTTTAAAGTGGAATAATTTCATTTTTGAAAAATACCCAGCTGCAGAATTATGAAGTATTTGGTTCTTTATTTCTTAGAAATTATTTCGACTTTTCATTTTTAATTTTTTACAAAATATTGCTTGTTTTTTTTTTTGTTGTGTACTTACTTGAACGTTGACCAGACTGAGCCGCAATTCCACCGCCAACGTCATCAAATGACGCGTATATATGACCATATCGACGCATTTTCGCGAAAGTATCGTATGTCGATAAATCCAATTTTACAGGAGAAGCTTTTTTGTGCTTTAATTTCTTAGGAAGCACTATAGAAAAGACAAAATTGAAACTTAATTTTTATCGGAACTATAGGGGTTTCAGCTATAATATTTCACAGGGTAGTGCGACATTAGGTGCCTAACAATTTTGCATTAAAATCTCAATTTCGAAAAAAAGCGACATACGATACTTTCGCGAAAATGCGTCGATATCCTCGTCTGCTGTCCATGTCAAAGTCCACTTTTAACCCACTACGAGTTGTGGCAGTCGTTGAGTTGTGTTGCTGCTTCTGTTGTTTTTGCCTTTGTTGCTCCCCCTCTTGTCGAAAGCAATTTCATAAATGGCTTCCGTTTGAATGAAACACGCGCCATTAGTGAACTAGGGGCCAAAAGTATTATCAAGGAGTGGAAGAGGACCTAAATCCTGACTGGGCTTTTCATCTTTTGGCCCGCGCCCACTCCCACTCAAGGAGTGTTGTCTAGGCTCTTGCTCTGTCTTTATTTTTATTTCTATATCTGCGTGCGGCAAACGCCTTGTGGGGTCTTAATAAAAACATATACCAAATATGGTGCAAACGCGAGAGAGAAAATGTTATTTTGAGGAGAATACTTTAGCTTTAAGAAGCAGTTTGCAGTCTCTTGAAAGAATATAAAAGAATCTCTGGAGAATATTTTTAGCATTTAAAATTCATTAAAGCTCTGTAAATATAAGTATAAATGTCTTTATTTATACGACTTTCTATATTAAATTAATTTCTACTATTTCATAAAACCCATTTTCCATAAATGTTTAGGATCTAGCAGTGTATCTCTAGCTTCGTTGGGCTTCCCTTTTTCAACACACATTTTCTGGGTTCGTGTTTCTATATATACTTTTGCGTTGTGCGCCATGTGTTATGGCGCCACATCAAAATGATAAACAGACCTAACTGAGACATATTCAAGGTCAGATGAGAGGGAGCAAGACCAGCATCCCTTCCTTATACTAACCACATATTTTTGGAGGACCCTAATGGGGTTAAAGTGTAACCATCAGTCACAGACTGTTAGTCAGTTATCGGGAATTATGGGGTATATATAGTATTGTAGTGTCTAAAGAGACAGTGTCAACGAACCTTGTCGAGAGACAAAGCACTTGGCTTTGGTTAGCGTCCAGCAGCAGCATCCAACCAGGAAATAAAGGAAGCTGATGGATGGATGCTGAATCCGATGGCTGGCCTTGATTAATGCTGAATGCACATTTAAAAGCTTTGCCATATATAGGGGTAGTCCCCTTCCCCAGCTTAATTCAATTTGCATGTGCACGAGGGTCCGAGTCCGAGCGGAGAATTGTTTATAAATAAATTAACAAAGCCGTAACAAGCGCTGGTGACCCTCGGACTTCCAACTAGAACAATGCCAGAGGTGCAGCATCAGCAGTGCGGGAAAGCTATGACCGGTTATGATATCCATTTGGAATTTTTTAATATAAAAAAAAGTATTGTTTAAAACTTTAAACATTTTTAAAACAAGCTTGATGATAAGAAAACATTTATTATACATCTTGTATTATTTATTAATTATTTTTAGCTTTATTTAAGGGGTTAACCCATTGATATTGGACATCACTGACGATTGGACAAGTACAAGATGACCAGCGACAGGCGCGTGGCAGGAACTGGAAAGGGACCCCGGAATGCCATCGCATCCAATCTGGGTGGGTGCGAGGTTGATGCAAAAAGAGGGGGGATTAATTGTCTGTGGGAGTGAGCGAGTGTGTGTGTGGGTAGGTGTTCGGTAATGGCGGAGAACAAAGAACCGTTGCAGGGGCCATTAGTCAGCCGCGCTCTCTCTCCCCGCCTTTCTTCAGCTTCCTTCTTTCCCCTTTGCAAATATTTCCGCATTTTTTCAACTACTCACCAAACAGTTGATTAACGAGCGATCTCTCTCTCTCCCTCTCTCTCTCCCTCTCTCTCTCTCACACGGTCATTACACTCAAATAAACCGTACTGTTTTTTTACAATATTAAAAGTGAAGGTAGATAAATATTGTATCTATGATATATATAATATTTTGTTAAGCCATGATAAATCACCTAGTTTTTTTTTTTAATTTATTCTAGAACTAGTTGGGAATTCTACGTAATTACCACCGAAATCTTTCCTATATAAGGAAATCTAAATAAAACACACATAATAGTACATTTTCCTAACAATTGTTGCATTAGAATTTCAAAAAAATGTGTATTAAATTATTTGAAAAGTGTATTTCCTGGTTTTACTTTCTGATTTTCATTTCGAATGCAATTAAAAAGTCAGTCAGCAGGAACAGAAATCAATAAATAAAACGCGTAAGGAGAGCAGGGAACTTGAGCAGCTCCTCCGTTCGCCTGCCTGAATTTTTCGCAAAACTGACACAGTTCTCATTTCTTTTCTTAATTTCAACATTTTTGCATTTTTCCAGTTCGTGTTATTGTTTTCTTTCCCCCTTTTGCTTTCGTGTTTGCGTTCAAAAATTTGCATGCGACAGGCGAGGAAATTTGCATGCAATGAAACAACAATAAACATGAGCCCAGTTGTTTATATTCAGAATGTATACATATTATATACTTATGTTTTTACGTACATTCTGAATAAATTGTGTGCATTTTCCGAAAAATCTGCTTGTATTAATTGTTGTGTTAACTTTTCCCCTAGGCAGGTTTTATCATGGTTTTAACTGTATTTTTGAAGGGATTAAAATGTTTGTAAAGTACAATATTGCTTTGTTTTAATCTAGATAATCTATTTATTGTGTGTTATGTTTCTTTAAATATCAATTTCTAAATTAAAACTTTGCCTCCATTAAGCAAATGTCATTAAATACCCATCAAACCTATTGGATTCCATTAGGTAGATCCTTAAAACGTGCCCGTCACCTGATTTAACGACTTCTTTGCTGTTATCTATATTCGGAATGGCAAATAACACTGATTTAGCCAGGAAACAGCTAGTGGGCTATTATTAAACAAGTCCTATATACATATATATGTATCTGCTGGGTGGGATAGGTCAGTTATAGAGTGGGTAAAATGCAGAAAAAGGGGTGAAGCGGGGTTATGACGAGGGTCATTCTCCATATCGATTTTCATGGCGCCAGATAAGATATATATATTTTTTGTGAGAGCTGTAATTTCAACCCGCACAGTCAATTTGTCGCCCAATCTATAGATACAAGTACTTGCATTAGGGTGGATCCGATATGGGAAATGATAAACTTCCTTAGAATATTAATATAGATAGCTAGATTTAAATATATAATGTAGAACAGAAGATACAAAAATATAAAACTATTTGAAATGAAAATTATAAATTACAGTTTATATAAATTACAGTATATATTTTGTACTAAAGTGAAGGATAGCACTTTGAAAAATAACTATTGTCAATCTGTAAAAATATATAGACCAATCTTTAAATATTTTATTAAAGTTTCTTTGCAAACTGTATCGACCAACCTTTAAATATTTGATTTATATTTTCTTTGCAAACTGTATCGATGCACCCTACTGCCTGGCGTATAGACATTTCAAGAGTCTGGGGCCGCGTTTGTGGAGGGAAAAAATATGTCAACCATTGTTGACATTTATTTGGTTAAATAAATGGTGAAAGAACTGTAGAAATGTGTTGCGCTGGTCTGCGCACCAGAAAACATTTCCCATTTCCATCCACATGAGTTCGGCACACATATCTCCCTGAGCTCTCCCCCCTTATGGTCTGCATTATTTGTGGAACCTGCCTGGCTTGGTTATTTTTTTCTGAGGACGATGCCTGTGGCGCCTTTGTTTCGGCCTCGGTCAGCTTTTATTTTTCCTTTTAAGTGCCCCTGGCTGAAAGCAAAAGTGCAAAAAGTTTCTCTAAAAATACTTTTAGTTGGGCACAAACACACACGAGCTGAGCTGCAGGAAGGAAATGACCTATAGCTGGCCGGAAAAAGGGAGTGAAGCAAAGAAAACTAGGGAAGGGACCTAGGAATAGTTCGAACCTTGATGAACTCCTAATGAGTCGGTCTTTGGGAGTCAGTTTCAAGGAATGGAATCCTCTTGTCCAGCCCGTTTCATTAATCCATCAATTATTCATAATTTGCAAGATTACGGGAGAAGTTCTAAAGCCTAGAGCAATGTGTTATAATTTTCGGGAAAAAGGAAAAACTTCCATTGGATTGGAAATGAATAAAAGATGAGCAAAGAAAGGAGCCAACGTTGGGGTAATAAATTATGAATAATTGTTGGGGAAATGTGTTAATGCACAACAGAAAATACAGGAGCATGTTTAATAGGCTAAAAATGGATAAGCCTTCAGCAAACTGAAATATGTTTTGGTTACAAGTTAGGTAAAATAAATAAAATATAGTATTACTTTAAAGAAGGGCAAGCAAACATGTCCTATATTGTATACATTATTTTATTCTCTGCCGTCTCTTGTTTGGCAAAATTCCTTAGATTCCCCCGAAACTCGTTTATCTGATCTCTCTGCTCTCAACTTGGCTCACACTTATCCGACCTTTTATAATAATAATAATAATGGTCTCTTAGCCATCCCACCCACGACCATAAAAACGGAACGCCCACAACGGTTGTCCTTGGTCACCAAGTTCCAGGTCTTGGCTTGTGCCCAGAAGCCCTGGAGTGACCCCCGGAATAATCCCCCCTTTGAAGGCTCGTGCACTAAGGGCCAAAGCTAATTATGCGCAAGGCAAACACTTTGGCGAAACCACCACGGTCAAAACCTCGTCGTCCATATCACGGCTCGGGCGGGATTGGTCAAAGTCAGAGAATAAGGTGGTTTCTGTCACGCTGGCAACCACTGAAAATTGGTAGTGTCAAAGGCGGCCAAAGACCGTGCCACTCTAGAGGCTGTGCAAACTTTTGTAATAGAGCTTGTGCGCCTCGAGCACAGAAACCGAGTTCTTCTTCTATTTTCAACCAATTAGTTAAAAATATATAAACTTAAAACATAAAATGCATAGGAAAGCAAAATATTTAAAATATATTAGAGCTGTTTATGTGTTTTATTTCATTAATAGTTCTTAGTTTCTAAATTCAAAATAAAACACTAGACAAGTACTTTAGATTCTATGATACCTTATTAATTTTGTGTGCCCTTGCGTGTAACCACATAATATTTGTATGATTTCGTTATATTACATCTTATCTTTATAGCTCCTTGGCAAATTTTCATAATATCTTTCCCATGTTTGTTATCACTTAAAGCTTCCTTGGAAATCAACTGGCTTGAACGAAATAAGTTTTTATGTCATCCCTTTTCCTGCGGCCGCATTTATGAGTTGTTTTGTTTTTCCTTCCTTTCTTTTTGTGGTAAAACGGCTGTATTTAACATATTTCGTTGGCTGCTCCTCGTTATTCACTTGAAAAGTTCGCCAAGGATGATGTGTTTGTGCTCATGACTGCGAGACATGGTAGAGTAACTCCCCCTGGTTATTGTTGTGCGGGCGCCTAGTTCAAGGTCGCAAAATTGTACGGGAAAGAAGGACTACTAAAATATGAAAATTGCTTGAGGGGAATCAAGTTCCAAGCTAAATGGCATCCTTAACATGCACAAGTATGTTAATTTTATAAAGTCAGCCCCAAGAAAATGCTAATATGGTCATTTTGTAGACGACACACATATGTATGTATGTAAGTAGAAGTAAATATAGAGAAGACAATAGAATATGTCTATGGCTTTGGATTTTATTGTAAAGGTGTCCATCAAAATTAAAAAAAAACAATTTTTTATATATTAAAAAATTGTATAAATCATATATATTTTTGATTCGCCTTTCAAGACTTACCAGAGTGCTCTCCTATAAATCAGAATTTTTTTTTTTCGTGGTTCTCTTTGGATTCTTAATTCTGGAGAGAAATCACTCTTTCTCTCTCTCTCGCTTTGCTTGTACATTGCAGGCAAAGGTTGGAATATATGGCAAATGAAATATAGGAAACACTCCGTGGATTTTAATTCTTAATGTGTTTTAATTGGTTTTTAAGACAAATTTTAGAAATTTATAGCTCCTCATTTATAAGTCCACACATAATTAAATAATTCTTTTCTTTCTTTCCCATTTCAGGCTTAAGTCATAACCAAAAACCACAAACAATTTAATGAAGAAGACTGAACAACCACGACGCCCCACACAATAACTTGTAAACTATAGGAATTCAAAAGCCACCACCGCTCAAAACTAAACCTAAAACCACAAAAACAAAGCACAAGAATTATTATAATAACAATTGACAAGGAGGATAGACCAAGCCCATAGCCAAAAAGCTAACAAAGATGTCATCGCGTTCCAAGGAGAGAGTTGTCACGGCATTCCGCAAAATCTTCCACAAGTCCAGCAACAACAACAACAACAACAATAATAATAATAACAACAACAACCATAATAATAACAACAATAATAATGACAAAATTGATGGTGCCACTGGCAGCAGTCCGAATATAACCAATAACAACCACGATGCTGCTGCAGCGGCAGCTCCATCAGGTGGCGGAGGAGCAATGGGCGGTGGAGCGGTGGGCGGAGGATCGGGATCTGGGTCCGGAGCTGCAGCCGCCTCAAAGAATGCTGTGGTGCGTATGGCAGCCGAACAGGCTGTTTGTGATTCACCAGGCAAGCGGCGACGACAAGATCACAAGTAAATACATGTCAAAAATTAATATTTAAAACAAAAGCTATATCAAACTGCTTTGTTCATAACCTTCTAACTTTACTATCCATCTTGGCAGGGTGGCGCCGACAACGGGACGCCATCTGGTGGCCGCGCCGGATCAAACGATCCGTTCGCGGCGTCTCATGAAAGAGTACCGTGAAATGGAGCGGCTGCAGTGCAAGAACGATGCCGTCTTCACAGTGAGTCAAAGTAGAAATTACCAAGAGTCTAAGCTTACCTTCCCTCCTATCTTCGCAGGTGGAACTCGTCAATGACAACCTGTTTGAGTGGCATGTCCGCCTTCACGTGATAGATCCCGACTCACCACTTGCCCGGGACATGGTTGAGATGGGCGTTCCGGCCATCCTGCTGCATTTGAGCTTCCCCGACAACTTTCCGTTTGCCCCGCCTTTTATGCGTGTCGTGGAGCCGCGCATCGAAAAGGGTTATGTTATGGAGGGTGGGGCTATTTGCATGGAGCTACTTACGCCCCGCGGTTGGGCCAGCGCCTATACGGTGGAAGCTGTCATCATGCAATTCGCTGCCAGCGTTGTCAAGGGTCACGGACGGATTACGCGCAAGCCAAAGAATGCAAAGGAGTTTACTCGGTGAGTCTAAGGCCTGTTGGAATTAATATATTAATTCGAAATAATTCAAATATTAATATTTTTTGCAGTCGCCAGGCGGAGGAGTCGTTCCGTTCGCTGGTAAAGACACACGAGAAGTACGGATGGGTGACGCCCGCTTTGGCCGATGGCTAAGGCCAACCGACTACCCAAGATTCCAGATACCAAAACCGCGATGAAACTCCGCTCAGATGCTCTGCGTTTGCCAACTCAACACAACAACAACAACCAATGCAATTTAATATTCAGTCGTCGCTCATAGAAATGCTTCACCCATCATTACATATTACCCATCACCAGTTGCGATAGGTTCTCGCTGGGACATACTTCTTAGACAAGTAACGAACGATTTCAATTGCTAAACCATCCAGAAAGAAAGCCCAAAGGAGGAAAAACACAGAAGAAACGCATCAAGCAACAAATTAGCTTAATATGTATTTTTAGCTCGTAGACAAAAAAGCAAAATGAAAAACTTTCGTCGAATACAGAAAAAAGAAAAGGTTATTTAAGTCTTAAGTATTATATTAGTTGAAAAAAGGAAATTTATGTGAAGCGTAAAAAAAGAAACCCAATTTCCCATATGGCTTACAGATTTCAATTAGTCTGATATCTTGGTTCCGACTGTGTTACTTTATAATTTCTTGTGATTTCCGTTTACATTTAACAATGGAAAAAAAAACTAAATTACAACGGATGCTTGTAAAACACGACTATGTTTTCTTAAGTTTCGCATAATAAATAAATATAACATGTGTCTATAAATGCATTTTAATGGTGTCTTCAAATATATTTTTAATTGGATTTTTTTTTATATATATTAAGTAATTTTTGTATTGTGTATTTTTTAGTCAGTATTTAGTTTTGGAATAGGAATATTTATTTTTAAAAACACGCAAAAACATAAAGATTGGAATTTTTTAAATTTTAGTCTAACAACTTTTTTTTCTCACGTATTTTAACATTTAAAGATTTTTTTTTATTCAAGCGTTACATTTTTTAATTGCGAAATTTTTGTGAAATAATATTTTAAATATTAAAAAAAGTTTATTTTATTTTTTTACGAATTTTATTTTATTTGAATTTTTCATCAGTGTTTTTTTATTAGAAGTGATTGTTTTTGTTATTTATTTAAGCCGAAATAATTTATGTTCGTGCCTTGTATAATATAAGTACACTAAAAATTCTATTCAATTATTTGTAATTTCTTTTTTATTTGTATTATTTTTTTCTAGACTTAAAAACTGTTTAAACCTAATAACTTTTAATATATTTCTTTCCCCCTTTACCGACTATTTGAATTACCCGCGCTCAGTATTGGGCAACTCTCACGGCCAGAGCTGCATGACGAGCGCAACATCAGGTAGAAAACTGGCTTGGTCAGCAGACCAGCTGATAGAAGCAAAATAATCTTCAACAGACAACAAGAAAACAACAAAAACACAATCTTTAAATTATTTTTAATATTATTAATTCGAATTGTTGCATTCTGATGTGGAATTATATTTATTTTGTGTATTTTTCATTCGATGACTAGCCCGTCATTCCGCTTGCTCGTGCCTCGTGAGCACGCGTTTCTATCGCTTGCCAACACTAGAAAAAAACTAAACGGGTAGCTGAAAAATTACAATCGCAGGACACAATTTTGTAAGTATTTTAAGGCATTTGCACGTGTCTAGTGTACATTTAAGCTAGTGCCAAGTGTCCTTCACGGTTTGGCGTAGCTGAATCAGCAGTTATGTGCGGCGGCTAATTGCATTTGGTTCGTGAAAATTGGCTTGCAAAAGTTGCCTCGCTGGGCACGCAGTTTGTGGGCAACGCGAAAAAAAAAACTAGACAGTCTCTCTGCCCCGAGGCGGCAGCGACGCCGGCAGCGCAGTAGCTGAGCCCCCGAAGTCCTGGCGGAAAATCGGGAAAATATTTCCCCTGCTGCTAGTCAAGGACAGAAGGTATCAGAGGGTATGGAGGTGGCCGCCGAAGGGAACGGGAGCTGGCAAAGCCGACGACTGGCTCGTGGCTAATAGTATTGTGATTATTGTCTTTATTTCTGCTAATATTAATAATGTTTTTATTTATAAATTATAATATAAAGTTGCCAAAGAAGTTTTCTGATGTTTAAGATATCTTCTTAAATTATTAAATTATTTTAAGATAAAATCTTTTCTATAAAGACATAAAAGTTGTACTTGTTGGACTTAAATCATAGATTTTGTTTCTCTAAAAATAAAGAAACATTTCTTAAATATTAACTCTATAATACCACACTGATTTGGCGAATATCTTGTCAAAACTGAGTTCCTTGGGTTTGTTTTAAAATAATCCAAAAAACTCCCATTGTGAGGTCGAACTACCCTCTCTCCAAGTCTATAAAAATAAACCCTAGAAACCAAGAAGAACTATAAACACATTCTATTTTTAGATAGACGGCAATGGAATCGGAGACGAAAGCCAGCGGCGATGAGGAGAAGCAGCAGGAAAAACCCTGCTTGACTGTGCCCATGGACACGCTGGACCCACCGCCGCCGAGTAGCGCTACAAACAGCAACTCCAAGACCCTTAAACGCTGCCTGAGTGTACCCATAATCCGGACACCGACAACGGGTAAAACTCCGGGTGCGGCAAAAACTCCAATGACCACCCGGGCCGCTGCAGCAGCTGCTCTGGCGGCCAGGGAACACGAGCAGACGCCGAAGAAGAGCCAGAACCACCTCCCCGTTCTGGATATCCAAATGCCGAATATTGCTTCCATCGATTGCTTTGGCAAGAACATACACATACGCTCGCAGCCCAACTCGAGGGAGGTGTCCCCGGCTCCAGTATTTAATATATTCACCCCGCGAGCCCGGCGCTATTCGGCCAGCTATAGTCCCCTGACCACAGCCGCCAATGGAGCCACCCTCTGCCTAACGCCCAGGGTCTCCCAGCTGCGGCAGGAGGAGTGCGCCGATCTAAACAGTCGCGAGGTGAACCATGAGCGAGAGGTGCATCGGGAAATACAGATATCGCAGAGCTGGGAGGATCTCACGCTGGTGGCCGAGAACTGGTCCTGCAAATCCGATGAGTTCTCCAATCCCCTGCAGGTTAACCTGCCGCCCACCGGCAGCACGAGCTGCTCCAGTCCCAGTCCAACCAACAATCGGGCCGCAATGCGGCTACCATATTCGCCGTCGCCCACGAGGCGGACATTCGCCACCCGGAGATCGATGTCACCGATTGCGATGAGGCCATCGCAGTTGGGACCGGTCAAGCGGAAGTTTGAGCTGGACGATGCTCCCACGCAGGGGAGTAACTGGAGTGTGTACTCCCCACCGCCCCTGAAGAAGATATTTACAGAAAGGTGAGATATATTCAGAAAAAGGAGATTTAAATTCCTAAGTATTGGGGGTATTGGAATTTCTGATATTTTCCTTAATTTAGATATTTAAATATTTAATGCATCAAATAGGGCTGAAAAATCGAATCTATAATCGATTTATCGATTTTTTCAATTATGTGATATCGATATACATTTTTAGAATCGATTTAATCGAAAAAAAGAGTTATGTGCAACATTGATATTTTTTGATTCATTATTTTGAATTGTAATTTGTGATCGTTTAGAAATCGCTATATTCCAGAAATTTGTATTGTAGATTAAAATGGCTTACCTGGTAAAAATCAATTGGATTTAATTTAATAAATGTCATATTTCTGATGTAATATAAATGGTAAATAACACCAAAAAGCACAAATTTAAATACAAATATCTATGTTGTATATCCATATATAATTTAAATTATTTCCGTTTTTAATTTCAATCGATCATAATCGAGTTATTTTTTAAATTTAAAAAAATTGATTCGATATATATTCGATATCGATTTCAAATCCTAACAGAAATAACAATCTAAGGCCCAAAAATCATTTTTTCGCTTGCTAATATTTTCTTTTTTTTATTCTTTCTGGGGCAAAAGTTAATTTTAAATTAAATTTAGCTACTCTCAGGATTATTTACATTATTTTTGGATTGGGTTAGACGTCGAAGAATTTTTTTAAAAGCTAAAAATAAATGCGCACATTCTTGCACTGATTAAAACTATATTTGAAAATCTTATAAAAATGTTGAATGCAATAAAATGTAAAACAATGTATGTATTACATATTTAAAAATAAAATTACCTCTCTCCTCCCCCAGTCGCGGCTCCTCGCCCGTGTGCCAATCACCATCGTCGGTGTGTCCCAGTCCGGATTCCGGAACGTACGACGGTCGGATTACGCCCAAGTTGTTCATCTCCAAGCTGTGCACAAACAATGCGGTGAGCGGATCTGGTAGCGGGACAAATAATAGTAGCAGCTCGGGCTGTCCATCGCCGGTGTCCGCTTCACCGGGCGGCCTGGGCAGTGGCCCCAATCTGGAGACAGCCATGTGCCTCGTTTCTGGCGGCAGCCAGAGCCAAAGCATCGACGAAGGCATCTCCATACCGCTCGAATCAGAGATAAACTCCTCTTCCTGCCGCAGTCGCACCTCCTCCATACTATCAACGGCCTCGTCCAGCACTCAGGTGTTGGTTAACGACCTCAACGACGATGCCACGCTGATGGACGATGCCAAAAGCGAGACGTCCTCAATTGGTGGCTGTTCCACCATCAGCATAGAGTCATCATCCTGCGACAGTGGCGCCCGAACGGCAGCCACCTTCCTCAATCGCCTGGTTGTGGATTCGGATGGCAGCGGCGGTGGATCGCCGTTGGCGCAGAAGAGCTTCTACATCAACAAGCAGGGATTGTCGGGCGCCAAGAAGTTCATTGTCAACCATGAGAGAACGGCGGGTGTTGCCAGCAAGGATGTGCCGCAAAAGCTTTAAGAATCGGTTTAGGGGATGCTTAAAAATAGGATAAGAGAATAGATATTGGTTTATTCATTGGGATTTTGCTTTGGAAACTTCAGGTAGAAAGGAAAGGCTTGTCTTCCAAGGAAATTCATAATACCAAACACTTATATTCTGCCTTAAATTTAAACAATTTAGACGACAGTTAATAGACAGGGTAACAAAAGTCAGTTGTGTATTAGCTATTTAATACGCATCTTGAACACACAAAAATTAAAAAAAACTAGTATAACTTTAATTCATTTGAAATCCATAGAGCTATCCAAAGCAAAGTTTCCTGCAAATAACACCCATTAATCCCACTGATTTGCTAAATAATTAGTTCGTAGCCTTGTACATAGTTAAGTTGTTTTGTCTTAACAACTATATTGCATATCATCTTTCACAAAAACTCCCTTAGAAAGCATTCGTTTTAAATGTGTTAGCCTAAGTTTAACTATTATATAGCCAGATTTATTATCCCCGATTATTTGTGTTATGATACGTTCTTCATTTATGAATGTTTCAATTTATAAATAATATTTTTTTGTTTGCCTCTGCATATATATAAATAATATGATTAATTTAGATTCGTTAGATGTTAGCCACCAAAAAAGGTCCCAATTTTGCCAAATATGTTTCCTGTACGTAATATGTAATCCAACATTATATAGCCTATAATGTGATCAAAATATTCGCGGCGATATATGTGCATATCCCGAAAAAGAAACTGATCGATATATATATATGTATTTACCCGTATATTACATAGGTTTACAGTTCGATTCTAATTATCGTAAGCGAATTTACGTAGCTTCAGGAAATGTTATACTTAGAAATGATTCAAGATCGAAAGAAATGCCTATTAAACATTTTTTCAAATAGATTTGTGTTTGTTTTTTTACATAAATACTACGATGTGCAGGGGAATATAATATAACTATATTTGGAATTCAATCGAAAATAGCATTGGAAAATGGGTGCTATGTTCTGAAAGTTTTATTCGCGTGGAGAGCTGATGTCATAATTTTAAAATACAGTTTTTTATTGGCACCACTACAGCTTTTCTACCATAATTCTAAAATTTCTGACCTTTATTATGTATTTATATACATACAATATAATTGTATTTAATTTTTTAAAATAATGACACTAATCCATATATTTTTACCGAGCACGATATGATCAAACCGTCGCCCAAACCTTATAAAGCACCTGCACATGATGTGTCCGGTTCGAGTGTGTGTAAGCTGTGCACCCAGCGACAGTGGGACTGAAAAAGTTCGAACACCTGGGGGGGAGAGAGGCAGAAGCCGAGGTGCCGAGCATTGCTCCCCATTCGCTGGCTCGCCAACACCGAGATACTGGTTCCCCACACAGATAGGACATGATACACATGGCCAGGCAGTCGCTGAGACATCGCACACGGATGCCAATCCCCCAGGCTAACATCGCAAAACGCAAAAGCCAGAGAGACCGACCGAGACCGATAAACCGATTCCACACGGACCACGGAGTGGGCGTTGTGTTGACTTCCAGAGACTGGATCTCCGATATAAACGAGTTTTATAGCGAAAATGAGAGAAGAAAAAAAAAAAGAGTACGAAAATGAATGTGCGCTGCTGCAGTCACGATCGTCAATATTCCCGAGACCGAGAGACCGACCGGGCGGAAGCCTAGAGCCAAGCACTCGAAGCGGATCTTTGGGACCATAGGTAGCAGGCTTGGGACCAGAGAACTTGGCTACTCACGCAAATGGCATACAAATTAGAAGAAAACACGCTATCCTATATCTCGAAAACTGTTTGAATAGACACCTGAAAGCGATCGAGTGCTTATTGTTTGAATAAAATCTGAGAATGTGAGTATACACATGCAAGGTGTCCTTAAATAAAAATGTAATTATTTGTTGAATACTTAATATAAATAGAGTGCTACAAAAATCATTACTAATTTAAAATCTAAAATGTTTTATGTATTAAACCCGTATACTTTAAGTCATTGTTGGATCCCATAATAAATTATAAAGCAAGGATAATATCCTTGAATCCAAGGAGTAAATATAATATAATATATATAAAATACGTATCAAAAAAATTTTTATTAAATTTTTTAAATAGATTTTACAACACAAGTGTGCTTCCCAGAACTAATCTAGGGGATTTTATTATTGTGGAATTCTGGCATAAATAAAAAATTTAAATGCATTCAAAAATTCTAAAGTAATAAAAAGGATTCAAATATACTAAATATCTTACTTAATAATAATTTCAGGGATTACATTTATGGCTTAAAAGTATGCAATAACTTATTAGAGCTGAGTAAGGGATATTTATGTTACAAAGGACTTCCTCTTTGACCTTCTACCAAAAGACTTTTTCGGTATTTTCCTTGGCTAAAAGGACGAAAATATTAAACAAAATATAAAAAAACATTAATGAAGGACCTGCCGACTATGTTCAACACTAATTAATATCAGTTGAAGCACCGGAAGTCCTTATAAACATTTATTCTGGGATTTACAACAAAGAAGAACATTAGAAACCTTCAATCCTTTTTTTCCAATATTTTCCAAACAGATCTAAAAAAAAAAAAATAAAACGATCGAAGGGGTTTTGTCCAAACACTCAGCCTTAAAAGGCACAGCAACAAAGGCCATCTTCAATAATTAAGTCAATTACTGTAGAAAACAAAAAATAAACACAAAGGAAAGCCACAACAACAAAAGGCAATGAGCGAGAAAGAAGAAGAAAACCAACTCGGAATAAAAAAATAAAAAAATTAAGGCGCACGGTTTTATTTTTGCTCTGCTGCTCGGACGTCAATAAAAAAAGTCGACGTCGCTGCTGACGCTGGCGTCGCTGCTCCCCAGATGTTTTCATTGTTGTTATTGTTACTGTTTTTTCCGTCACGCTGCTCCCTTTTTTCAGTTCTCCTCCCCCACGCATCCCCCTCTCTCTCTCTCTCTCTCTGGCACACACACGGCTCCATACACCCCCAACTGCCCATTTTACTCCGTCTCTTTCCCTCTCTTTGGCTCTCTGAGTAATCTTGAAAATCGTGAGTTGTTGTTGCTGCAGTAGTTGTTGCGCCTGTTGCTCTTGCCTGTAATTGTTTTTATTTTGTTGTTGTTGCATTTTCTTTGGGGCTTGCCCTGTGCGCATTTTCTTTGTTTTGTCGTTTCTCGCTTTTACGTGGCCCGAAGAAAAATCAAGTTAACACGCAAAGGGGCAGAGGGGGCGGTGGGTCTTGGGGATAAGGCTCACGTTCGTGTTTCGAAAAAGCCTGCAGCGTCCATTGTTGTTGGCGCTCTGCTCGCTTCGCTGATTCACAGACCAAGCAGCGCTGCCAACGCCGACGCCGACGACTGAAACTCGACTTTTGCGGCGTTTTGTTGTTTTTGTCGAGAGGTTGCTGCTCGGCAAGCCGCAAATCGCGAATCGCGAATCCAGTTTCTTCTTCACTTCTTCGCACGGCAGTCACAGAAATCGCGGATAAACAGAGCAAAGGAAAGCAGAGCGCCCAAGGAGGAGAGTGTAAAGAGAGAGAAAAGATCGGGGATTGCAGATAGGCGGAGGAGCTTTTTTCCCTGAATTCGGAAACTCCTTGCAGATCACGTGGTTAGTAAAGGCTTTAAACTGCCAGGATTACCTGAGAGTCGTAAAGAAAAGAGTGTCTTTGTTTTAAAGCTTTTCATTTTAAAATATATGAGCTATAAACATAAGAAAGTGATCACTCTCTGATAAAAGGACACGATCATTCCAGTGGTAACTAAAGGAATTTATAAATATTTTAAGCTTTTTGTTTGTAGTTGTAAACGTTTTTAGGATGGAAATATAATAGGTCATGGTTAGCTTGACCTGCTTGACCCTCGGCTAATATTTATTCTAGTTAAGCTGGTCTTAGGTCAGAAATTAACAAAATATTTATGAAACCTTAAAAGCAAAGGTTTAGCAGTATTACAAAAAATAATCCGGGTTTTTATGATTCATAAGTTATTAGGATTCTTATGGTTAATTATAAGATTCTTGTAAATGTATAAGGAATGGTTAATAATATTAGCTTTTTAAAACTCTACAGTTAAACCTTTAAATGGAGTTGGCCTTGAATAAGACATCGTCCTGCGTGGACTGCTGCAGCGACTGTACTGCTCTGCCCTGCTGCTCGGCCGCTGCCTGCTGTGATGCCAGCTGTGGAGCCAGCTGCGGATTAATTCCCCCAGACCCAGTCAGATATGAGTACCAGGAGCCTGAGGAGAACTTTGTCTCCATAGATGATGCCAAGATCAAGGGGTTCCTGTTGCGAATAGCACAGCAACAACAGGAGCAGGAATTGGAAAGGAAAAGACTCAAAGATATAGAAAAACTGCGCAGGGAAGCAGAGAGACGAAGAAGGGAACCGGAGGTCATTGAATTGGATGAGGAGGACGCTTCTCAAGTCAATGGGTTGATAATAAGCGCCGCCCGTAGTCTGGCCTCGTGGAATTCTTCTATTAAAAGGATATCTCCAGATATTGAATTAATTCCCAAACAGGGACACAGGATTGTGGCGGAAATCGAACTCAGCGATAGCGAGGAGAATGCAAATAGCGACGAAGACGATGATATCAATCTTCCTTCAAATACTGTTAGTTGTGTCCTGGAAAGCGAGAAAAAGGCGCCTCAGCAGGTGATAGTCCTGCCCTCCGATGATGATGAAGAGGGCCAGCAGCCTCCACGGACAGTAAGAAAGAAGCCTTCTTCGTCAAGGAGGAAACGATCGTATGTCAACCGGAGGGGACGTCACCTGTACGAGTGTTCTGACTGTGGTAAAAAAGTGCAATCCAACTATAATCTAAGACGCCACATGATGATTCATACAGGTATTACTTATACATTTAAATTTCTATAATTATTTGCTTATAAATTTCCCACTTTGTTATTCCAGGCGAGCGACCCTTTCCTTGTGATCTCTGCGAACGTCGCTTTCGGGAGTTTAGCGATCTTAAGAAGCACCGCCGCAGGCACTCACATGATCCCAGATTCATTTGCATGATCTGCCACTTGGGGCAACCGCTGGATCAGGATGCCACCAGGTGTGCGGAATGCGAAAGCAAAAATCTAATGGTAAAACCACAGCCAGATGAGATGGGGGACAAGCCACTTGAGGATCAGGATCAGGCGGAAGAGGATATGGATGAGGAAGACGAGGATATAGAAGAAGAAATAGAAGAAGAGGAGATTGAAGAACCAGAGGCAGTGGAGCAGCCACAACCTGTGCCTTCACTGCCCACTTTAATGGTAACCTTGATACCCACTACTCTTCAATCTTTGCCGGAAAAGATTCCTCCTCCCCATCAACCTAGTCGTCCGCCACTTCCGCGCAGTTGCAGTAGCGCCAACTCATCGTCTTCCTTGAGCAACGATGGCAATGCTTTGGGAAAGACCAGAAGTCGTACTCGTCGATCCTATCCATGCCCGCTGTGTCATCGTCCCTTTGGAACGCGTCATAACCTGAAGCGCCACTATATGATTCACACTGGCGAAAAGCCTTTCAGCTGCTCCAAATGCCGGAAACCCTTCAGGGAATGTTCAACCCTGAAGAAGCACATGGCCACGCACATCCGAGACCGCTGGTACAAGTGTCTTAGGTGTCCAGCGAAATTCAGGGACTATCTGGAGTATGCTGATCATAAGTCCAATCATCTGGAGCAGCTGAGGGACAGGAAATCCTCCAACTATGAAAGTGATGATGAGAGCTCTGTGGAGGACTGGCTGGAGTGTTGTGAATGTCAGCAAAGATTCACGGAACTGGAAGCTTATACGTCTCATCTGAAGCAGCATGACTTGGAATTGTATGGAATGAGTGTGGATGATGTGGGCGATGAGGATCAGGATGTGGATGTGGCCTAGTTGGAGAGGTAAATATTGATTTATTGCAACGATATTTGATGTGTTTGGTTTGCTATTTTGATAATAATATACATATATTTCCATATATGTAATTCCTTTAAATACTGGGATCAATATCATATCAAAAATATCGGTAATTTTGAAATTATTGATATGATGTTGATCTCAATATTTTTATAGCATGTTATTGGAAATATTTGAATTATCAAGATTTTCTTAATTTATTGGAGTATATATTTTATTAAGGATTATAAATCCTTAACCAATTTTTGAATAACTTTTTTTTATTTTAGTTTAGTTTACAAATATTAATTTAAAATTTAAGTGAAGTGAGATCGATAAAAATATCACGCAGTAAAACATTCCTTAAAGTTGTAATCCTTAAAAATGTTATAAGATCTTGAAAGATCTTTGTAAGTAGTTTTAAGCATAAACTAATCATATTATTTACCACATTCCCTAATATAGAGCGGAAAAAGAAAATATTTAAGTTTACTTTGTGATCCATAAACAATGGAATTGTTTATAACTTTCAGATATCTTGATGAACAATTCTAAAGATTTTCTAAAAAATATATGAACTGAACTTGAAGAAAATATAAATCAAACAAAATAAAACCTTAAACTTCAACTCCATGAATTTATTTATTATTAATAATGATTAATTATAACAGTAAAAAACCTGAAAGGAAGCTTGCTTCAACAAGCCGAAGTATTCATTCGTCAATCGTTATTAAAGTTGAATAGAGCATTGAGCAAAACTAATGAATCCTTGTAGAATAGAACAATAATATCCCAAGAAAATAGTACTTTCTTATAAATTTTTTAGATTTATTTATAAATATTATGATATATGTTTGTATTAAAAAATAAACGTATTAAGTGCACAAGAGTCGGTGAAACATACAAGAGTAAATTATAGTCTCCAAAGAACTTAAAGAGATTTAGCTAAAATCGATTAACTACAAAATAAATAGTAAAAAGCGTATAAGCGTAGGAAAAAATGACTAAGATTGAGGCGCGCTTGGAGCGGGAGAATCCACAATGGTGTTAGTAATCATGCTTAGATGTCCAACAGCACAGGCTTGGTTTCCTTGGCGCACTTGAACACCGATCGCATCATTTTCAAGAAGCCCGTGTCCTTGGGCTTTTCCAGACCGCGTTGCACGCGATTCTTCATTACGGAGATGAACTCCTTGTTGCTCAGTTGGTTGTCATCTGTTTAAACATTTTCTTAACTAAGATAATAACGTTTTTCTTTCAAACTTACTGTTCTCATCGAAAATGGTAAAGACAACATCCACCACATGATCCGATAGATTGACCATGGCCACTGTCTTGGCCACATGCTGCAATGTCTGCTGGTCAATCGAGGCTCCCGCGATGTGGTAGAATGTCAAAGCAGTGTCCACATCGTTGATGTTGTTCAGGAAGTGGAAGAAATCGAGATAATCCTGTTTGGAAATGCCTGTGCCGTGATCCCTGAATCTCCGCTTAACTCTCTTCAACTTCTTTTGCTTCTTCTTCAGAGGATATCCGGCATAGGCCAACAGTAGCTCAGCGAAATCGGCTTCGGTTATATTTCCATCAGCGTTCGGTTCTTTCCTTTCGAACTCAAGCGATAGGATTTCCCGCTGAAGTTGCTCTTGAAAGTCCAAGAACTTTTCAATGGTCAGCTTTTCGTCCATGTTGGGGCCAAAGAAATACGTGATCAAGGCCGAATTCACGCCCTACAGAAAGGATTTGAGTACAAACTAAATGATTATTATTTTGTAATGGATTTAGTGTTAACATCAATGGACAGTAACTTGTGTGCGTGGGATTTTCTAGCGTGATTTAGTCTTAGTTAAGTGCGAATGTGACTGATGTTCAAAAAGAAGTTTGAAAGGGGCAAAATATAAGTCAGTAAGCATTATTACACAAAGTACCTTCAAGGACTGTGAGTACGTCAAAAACAGAGGGAAGTTAAGAGTTTATTTTTATGTACACAGTTTAGACACGCGTTCAATATACATATATAGGAGATCAAAGCCAAAGACAGAGAATATACAAGTATACAAAAGAAGGAATGGTTTTTTAGTACGTCTCGAGGTACTGTCTTTTCTATTTAAGAAAATGTTCCTATATTACCTTAAAGGTGTTCCCTGTATTGGCATGATCACGGTGCCGTGTGCCCATGCTCGTTTGCTGCCTCACCAATGTGGCAACCATTTCGAATTCCTCACAATCCACATCCCCATCTCCATTCAGATCGAACATACGAAAGGCAATCTCAAAGTGACGACGTGAAACTTGGGGGGAAACAAACTTTAATTAATATATTTAAGTTGATAATTAATTTTAATCACTTACTGGAGAGTACGGTGAGCAAGAAAATGTAATCGGAGAAGGTTATCAAGCCAAAGGAGCCCAACTTGTAGAATATGCTGTTCTTCTCCAGGTGCAGATTTAGTTGTTCGCCAACGGACTGAAAGGGGAAATGGGTAATAAATATTAAATAAAAGATCACAAACATTTAAACAATAAGCTCACCTTGGGATCATAACGTCGATATTGGTCCAGACCCAAACCTATAAAACAAATATAATTAATTAATTTAAGGTTAGATACTGATGCTCCTTGTATATATAATCGTGTTAGTTTGCTACATTCTTCTATGACACATTTCTATCCCTATCACATACCATCTGGTTGCTTCATGCCCGGTGTCATGCTGGTAAGAAAATCGGTCGGTGTCATATAGACTTCGTGACGATCATCGGCCACAGGCACCTGGATGGTGGCAAAATAGCGAAATACTTTGTCCGGCGTTGAGAACTGACGGATACGGTTCTCGTACTCTATGATCTAAGGCAAACGACATTACTTTAGCTAAGAGCAACCACGACATTGACAAAGGAGAGCAAAACTAATTTCACAAAAATAAGAGACTAAACTAAACAAGTGAATTTTTAAACTAAACTTAAGTTAAAAACTAAATGTTAGTTGATGGGTTTTGAGTTTCCCTCGAGGTGATTTACCATCTGGTTGTTTAATTCCCGGATAAATGGAGCGCAGGAAATCCTCGGGCGTCATGCAGACGATGGTTTGGGTTGCATCCTGCAATCGTACGGTGGCAAAGTAACGGAATATCTTGTCCGGCGTGGAGAATTGCCGTATACGGTTCTCATACTCAATGATCTTTGTGGGGTGGTTGTGTGTGTGTTTAACAAAAATCAAGACGTCACAAACATAAAAGTAAAGAAAACCAAAGATTTTGCGGAAAAATGTAATTAAAGAAACTTTAAAATATATTGCAAAAAGTTTAAAATAGGTTTACTTCGGTTTTCACATAACTTTCCTTGATTTTAAATTTTATAAATTGGTTCATTTTTTCGAAACAAGCTTAAAATTAATATAAACTTTTGGGAAACTGTTATAAAAATTGTATTAATTAACTTCAAAAACTGATATAAATCTTTAACGTATTTTTAGAATGAAAAAAACGTTAGCAAACCGTAGATTATTAAGCTGTGAAAACCGGATTAAACCTGATATATAATAATAGATTTTTAAACAGAGTTAACAAGGCGGAGTTATAAATGGCGTTCCAGAGCCTAAAAGCTGCTATGTTTGTACCTTCCTCTCGCGAAATCCGACCTTTTCGCGTATCTTCTTGCCCTCGTGCAGGTGTAGGTCCGATCCTCCTTCCTCCTCCTCGCTGTCCTCCGCCTCCGTATCGGACTTCGTATCCTCGCCATTCACGCCGGCGGCTGAGGACGGTCGTTGTCCAGCATCCGCATCCACTTTGGGCACCAGCAGACGCTTCACTCTAAAAATAGATTTCGTGTGGGAATAAAAATGCGAAATATTTTATTGGTTATTTTATACTCACTTGCCCCAATCCAAGACGGAAATCAGGAACAGGCTCAGAATGAACATGTGAAAGTACTTTGTCACATTCGGCGTCTTCTCCTGCTGGTGCCCGAAGCGTTTGTGGGTCCTCACTTGCATTAGATTTGGACTTCCATTCGATTTTGTTAAATCTTGAGCGATTTTATTGCTATTTTGGTTGCACAAAGTGGAGGCCAAGGCGATTTGGGCTGGTTTTTGGAGGATATTGAAGGTCCTGGGCCTTGCCAAGGCAGCCAGAGCCTGGCGCGTTACCAGGAATCGCAGCACTGACATTTTTATTGTCCTATTTCGGTTGTTTATACTGTTTTTAAATCCAATTTATCGTTTTTATGCTCATTTTTCTGGCAAAACGGGTTAGTATGACCAGATATCTTACGGCTAAAGAACACCACGTTTCGCAGGTGGCTTTGTTTATGTTTTCTTGGCACAAAGTTCTTGTGCCACAGCTTTTAGCTTTTGTGCGGTTAACGGAAATTGATTAAAATCCAGTAAATTTTAAATATTATGAAATCCGAAAATGGCTTTTATATGTTTTCTATGAAATATAATTTAGATTTACTGTACATAAAAACATACCTACTCATTTTTGTATATGAAAATGTAAACACCCTGTGAGCCTCAATCAGCTGATGTGTCATGGACAGTAGCTGACTGATGTGGCCTAAATAAATTTTATAACATTATTTACAAATATTTAAATATTATTAATATATTTATACATTTTTAAAAATTAATTATATAAAAATAAAATAAAATTAAAAATTCCATTCCAAACAATAAGTTATTTATAAAATATTCTTTTACAATTTTATTCGTTTGAACAATTTTTATACATAATGTTTATATTTTTTGGCAATATAAAAGTAGAATTCTAGTTTATATTTTTTGTTAATATAAAAGAATTCCTTCAGAAAGAGTGTAGAGAAAAATATGCTAAAAAAGAGGGCGATGTTTACCCCTTAAACCTACTTATCGTAGAGTATTTTGAATATTAATTTAGTTTCAAATTTACTTCCCGAGTATATCCTCTTCTTCAAAAGCTGGCTCACTGCCCGTGCTGGGACCCTTGAGGGTCGGCGAGTGCGAGCGAAGATGCCTCGTCAGATTCTCCTTGACAGTAAACGACCTGGAGCAGTGGGGACAGTGGTGGGCCTTCTCCGTAGAGTGCGTTAGGACGTGACGCTTGAGTCCAATGGAACTCGAAAACGATTTCGGACATTCGGTACACTGAAACGGTCGCTCGCCGGTGTGCGTACGGATGTGGTCTTCCAGATTGTTTCGGGAAATAAAGGATTTCGGGCAGAGCGAGCACTTGTGCGCCTTTTCGCTACTATAATTTCGAATGTGCTTCTTGAGCCAGGTTTCTTTTAGGAAAGTCTTGGGGCAGTGGGTGCACTTGAAGACCTCCGATCCCGCGAGGCTCTCACTGGCTTTTATCACATCAGTGTGGACGTTGTAATGGTTGTCCAGGTAAGATCGCCGCAGAAAAGTCTTTGGGCAGAGTGTGCACTGGTAGGGCCTTTCGCCGGTGTGACTTCGGACGTGCACTTTGAGACTAGGTGACGTTAGGAACGACTTTGGGCAGTGAGGGCACTTGTGTGGCCTTTCCCCAGTGTGGCTCAGGTAGTGTGTATTGAGAGCAGATAGCTGGGCGTAGGACTTTGGGCACTGGGAGCACTTATGCGGCCTTTCGCCGGTGTGTGTGCGAACGTGGTTCTCCAGGTTGGATGGCGAGAGAAAGGATTTCGGGCATTGGGTGCACTGGTACGTCTTTTTACTGTTGTGATAGAGGATGTGCTTCTTGAGCTTACGTTGAGTTGAGAAGGACTTCGAGCAGAGGGTACACTTGAAGGGTGGCTCCCCATCTTTGCTAAGGACTTCACTCTCGTCGATATAATCCCTATCGTTATCATCGTCCTCTTCATCGTATTCAACTTCTTCGCTTTTCACTTGCCATTCGATAAGGCCCACCTCGGAGTCCCCTCCGTCGACAGTGTTTTCTTCAACTGGCTCATTTTTCACTTGGAAGTCGTTATAGTTTTCATATGGATCAACATCCTGCCTCAAACCTTCTTCGACGCCTTCGTTTTGCACTTCGGAATGGAAATCTTGGATTTCCTCCTCGTCGTCCTCACATTTGAATTCAGTTATGGTAAAAAATTCAATCTGCGTTGGATCCACTTCCTCCTTTAAAAGGTTCTGGTGCTCCCTGCTCTCCTGGCTCTGATACGCCCTTCGTACATCCTGCAGGCAAGGGGAGCAGATGGTTTCTGGCAGGGAATCCCCTTTAGAAACGGAGAAGCCAGTGTATTGAGATATCATATCTGCAATGGGAGCTTCCGATTGAGGAGGCGTCCCATCAAATATTTTAACCAAGGCCTGCGGCTTTCCCATGCAAATTCGGCACGTGTCCTCCATTGTCCTGAGATCCAACAATTTGATTTGTTTATTTTGTATTGAATTTATTTTAATTTAATTTATTTACCCTAATATTTGTAATTTTTTTTACAAATTACAAAAATACGAATTGTTTTGTTTACGACACTGTGAACATTGAACACCCTGTGGGTCAGAATCAGCTGATGTGTGAAGCAGGACAAAAGCTGACTGCTGTGAGTTTTTAATGATTTTTAAATAGAATATATAAAATATTTATTATTATTTTTTGTCAATAATTTTGTTGAATTATTTAAAATTTAATATTAAGCTTTTATTGAATTTCAAATTAAGCTAGTTAAAGTAGTTTGTACCTGGGGAAATCAGTTTAATTTAGAATTCTGTATTATTTCAAAACATTAATGCAGTTAAATAATATATTCTTGAAAATTTTAATAATAGGATTTTATTGAATTCCAAGTAAAGCTAATTAAAGTTGTGCTTCGAAAATTGGTTGAGAACGTTGTTGATCTGATTCTATATAAATTATTTAATCTTAAATATATGTGTTTAAATTTATAAAATTGAAGTTTCGGTAGATTGTAACTAAGGGATAAACAATTTTCAATTCTCAATCATTTAAAAACATTAATACATTCTTTGAATTAAATAATTCATATTTTAAAAATATATTATTTGTTCATAGAACTTAAGAGCTATTAAAATTGGCCACACACTTTTTTAAGTTGAAATTGAGAACTTTCTGAAAAAAGTTGAACAGTATCTAATAAAATGGAACCAAATGACGGGGAGCATTTTTCGAGGAAATCCAAATTTTGTACAGATAACATTTCTTATTAATCAAATACTGCATGACTCTATTCAAAAGTTTGCCTATTTAAACAGCTTCATTAAATCATTAGTAGTCAGTGATCAAAATAACTCAGAATGCTCAGGCTCGCAGCAGTAATTCTTGTCTTTTCGTTTTTTGCCCGGAATCTGTATGGTTCCCCGGTGGAAACTGAAAATTCCCAGGATATTGGGACTTCACAGGAGTACGATGAGCTAGAATCCGAGGAGAAACAGAAGTTGAATGTTTTAAAGAACTTTCAATTGATTGGATCCAGGCACTTCTACATCGAGAAGGAATCAGCCCTCGATTGGTTCGCTGCCGCAGATATGTGCTCTCAACTGGGAGGACAACTGGCGACCATCCGAAGTAACGAGGAGCTACAGCTTATCGTACCGAAACTGAAATGGGACTCTGCCTATTGGCTGGATCTCACTGATTTGTCCGAGGAGGGCAGGTTCGTTTCAACACCTTCTGACGAGCCAGCAGCCTTTTTGAACTGGAGAAAAGGGCAACCCGACAATTACAACAACAATGAGCACTGCGTTTCATTAATTAATTACTACATATACGATTGTATATGTGAATCTCAGCGTTATTTTATATGCGAGGCGGAAATTGAAGTTTAATTTAAGAAAATTGAAATTATAATAAAAAAAAAAAAAAAAAAGAAATGACAGCTTATAAAAAGTACTTTCTACAAACGAAAATACATCGTCACATGAGGCGTTATGAAAATAATATATAAAAATAATTTTTTATTCTCTTTGTAGACATATAATCTGATTTTCTCAAAGTTTTCAATTTTGGATAATTTAAAAACATTTGTACAATCCTTGAATCAAATAATAAATTTTTAAAAAATTATATTTAGTTTGTTCTTGGAACTTTTTAAAATTAAAATGTATTGTTTTGAGAGCGTTGGACATTATCTAATAAAATGCAACAGAATGTCGGGGAGTATTTTTCGAGGAAATCCAAATTTTGTACAGATAACATTTCTTATCAATCAAATACTGTATGGCTCTATTCAAACGTTTGCCTATTTAAACAGCTTCATTAAATCATTAGCAGTCAGTGATCAAAATAACACAGAATCTCAGTCCCGCAGCATTAATTTTCGTCTTTTCATTTTTTGCCCGGAATCTGTATGGATCCCCGGTGGAAACAGAAAATTCCCAGTATATAGGGACTTCCCAGGAGTATTCCGCTGACATACAAGAGTCGTCGAATGAGCTAGAATCCTTGGAGAAATATAAGTTGGATGTTTTGGCAAACTTTCAACTGATTGGATCCAGGCACTTCTACATCGAGAAGGAGACAGCCCTCGATTGGTTCGCTGCCGCAGATATGTGCTCTCAACTGGGAGGACAACTGGCGACCATCCGAAGTAAAGAGGAGCTACAGCTTATCGTACCGAAACTGAAATGGGACACTGCCTATTGGCTGGATCTCACTGATTTATCTCTGGAGGGCAGGTACGTTTCAACAGCTTCAGACGAGCCAGCAGCCTTTTTAAACTGGAGAGAAGGGCAACCCGACAATTACAACAACAGTCAACACTGCGTTCAATTAATTAATTATTACATGTACGATAGTTCATGTGGATCTGAGCGTTATTTTATATGCGAAACGGGAATTTAAGTTTAACTTAAGAAAATGGGAATTATAATTTAAAAGAAAGAGAAAAAGACATATTGAAAAGATTAAGAAACGGACTAGTTACCACATTGGAAGAGCTCTCTTAAAAAACAAGAGCACATAACGACACAAGGCATTTTTATTATGGTATTTTTATAATTATACTAATAATTAAAAACGAAAATAAATTGTTATATATTTATTTATGGGTGTATTAATCTCTTTGATTAGATTGACCTTAACCTTTACGTGATCCCTAACTGTCAATATTCGTCTCAGAATTTGTTTTGGCGAATGGATTCCAAGTAAAGTCTATTAAAAATTGAATTGTCTTTTCGTAAAGAGATGTTTCTAATCAGTATTGCCTAATAACCATTCCCAGGTTTGATTATAAATAGAGCGCTTCAAAGGCATAAGTAAACAGTAATCAAAAGAACTCAAAATGTTCGCGTACTCAGCAATAATCTTTGTCATTGCATTTTTTGCACAGGATCTTTGCGGATCCTTGGCAAAACCTCACAATATCTCTGAAAACATAAGCCGGGAGCCTGATATTGTTAGAAACCTGGCGAAGCAGGAAAGGATTAGAGACCAGCTTGATATTTTGCTAACGATATACGATAGGCTCAGTAAAGACTACTATAGGGGCGAAGTAGATTGGGCAATAGTTCTGAAAAGGAACGTGGATGATTATATTAAAGTGTTACGTCATCAGCTGGATAACCTATTGACGAAGGACGATTGTCACCCGGAAAAGATCAATTATACAGATAATTTTCAGCGTATCGGATCGCGGCTCATTTACATTTCGACCAATGTAACCCTGAACTGGATTTCCGCCTCAAACGCCTGTGAACAGATGGGCAGCCGACTAGCCACTTTCCAAAACAAAGAGGAGCTACAGCTTATCGTACCGAAACTGAAGTGGGACACTGGCTATTGGTTGGATCTCCACGATTTGTTCAAAAAGGGCAGGTTCGTTTCATGGTCTACAAGGAAGTATGAAGTCTTTCTGAACTGGAAAGAAGGGCAACCCGATAACGACAACGGAATTGAACGCTGCGTTGAATTAAGTAACAATTACATGTACGCCCCTCCATGTAGTGCTAAGCGTTATTTTATATGCGAGGCGTTGGATTGAGTCAAAATCAAGAAAGTTGGAATTACAAATTAAATAAAACCTGAGATGAATAAGCGGCTTTACTCTCTGAATTACATACCATTTATTGTGAACTATTTCATATGAAGAAATTCTCTTTAAAAAAAATAAAAAACTCCAATGCTTTAACCTTTTGTATCAACCTTAACCTGTGTGTGATTGCTGGCTGTGAAGATTCTTCTCAGACGTTGTTGTCAAAGGATGGATTCCATGTAGAATCTGTTAATCATTTAATTTTCATTAATTCCGGCGAATATTTTTCGAAGAAAGTACATATACAGTATTGTTTTTCTGTAAAGAGATATTTCTTATCAGTTTTACTCAATAAACATACCCGCATTGCCCTATAAATACAGCGCTTTAAAGGCATGAATAAACAGTAATTAAAAGAACTCGAAATGTTCAGTTACAAAACAATAATCTTTTTCATAGCAGTTTTTGCACGGGATCTTTGTGGTTCCTTGGCGAATCCCCACAATGTCTCAGATGCCACAAGACTAGGGAAAAATTGTTTTGATACCATTCAGGCGAAGCTTGACAGGATCGGAGAGGAGGTTGCAAATCATCACAAAATATGGAATGCCATCGTCCTACCGTCCTTCCAACAGAAAGTAAACTGGGAGGAAGCTCAACTGAGCGTCCTGAAGAAGACCATCGAGGAGAAAATTGAAAGGTTGGAAAATCAGCAGGATGCAATACTGAAAAACGAAGACTGTTCCCCGGTCAAGTGGTTTGTTCCAGATAATTTTCAGCGGATCGGATCGCGGCTCTTTTACATTTCGACCAAAGTAACCCTGAATTGGTTTTCGGCCACAAACGCCTGTCGTCTGATGGGCGGTCGACTGGCCACTATCCAAAACGAAGAGGAGCTTCAGCTCATCGTACGCAAACTGAAATGGGACTCTCACTACTGGCTGGATCTCAACGATTTGTCCGAGGAGGGCAAGTTCGTGTCATCGACCTCAGGCAAGCCTGCAGCCTTTTTGAACTGGAGAAAAGGACAACCCGACAACTACAAAGGAAATCAACACTGCGTTCAATTAATTAATCGTTACATTTACGATTCTTCGTGCAATGAGAAGCAACGCTTTATTTGCGAAGCTTAAACCTTTTTATTGAATTTGTAAAATAATTTTAATATTTTTGACATTTTGGAATATGGAAATAAACTACTTTACTATAAAAACTTTGATGTAAAACTTTGAAGGGAATGATAAGATAATTTTTAGTCAACAATGTTATAAATCTTTTTTCCTTTCCTTTCCTCATGGTAAATATTCTGAGTGTATACATGGGCCTATGACCGCAGCCAGTTCCACATTTGACCCTTGGCGATTAACCTTAATACTCTAGATACACTCGAAAAAAATGAAGAATATTAAAAGAATATTATTTAAAGAATATTATTTGAGGGGTAAATTCAATTAAAGAAATACAGAACCCTCAAATAAATTTCTATGACATCTCTACAAATTTAATTATTTAAAAAACTTCAATGATTCTAAAGTTTTCCTTAGTGAAAGAAGCCCTTCAGATGCTTTTGAGGGTTTCAGTGCCGGGCTTTCACTTTTCATTCATTCATCAGATGTCATGGAGCGCTGGCACAACAAATTGGCCGTGGTCACAGGCGCTAGCGGTGGCATAGGAGCAGCCTGCGCCCGGGCCATGATAGGAGCAGGGTTGCGTGTGGTGGGCCTTGCTCGACGGGAGGCAAAGCTCAAGGAACTGAGGGACAGCCTACCGGCACACCTGCAGGCTAACTTTATACCACGACGATGTGATGTCTCCAAGGAGGAGCAGGTGCTCAGCTCGTTCGACTGGATCGAAAGGGAGCTCGAGGGTGCCGATGTTCTGCTCAACAATGCCGGAATCACGCGTGAAACAGAACTAGTTACTCCGGGAAACACACAAAAACTTCGTGAGGTAATGGACACAAATGTAATGGGCGTGATCTGGTGCACACGGGAGGCCTTCAACAACATGAAGAAAAGAGGCAACGAGGGCCATGTTCTGATCATCAACAGCATCGCTGGACACCAGGTGCTGAATTTTATCGATGTACTGCCCTCCTTTAACATCTATCCGGCGACAAAGTTCGCCATCACGGCCATCACGGAGACCTATCGCCAAGAGTTCCAGCTGCACACGAAGAAGATTCGAGTGACCGGGATTTGTCCTGGGGCAGTGAACACCAATATCTTTCCCGAGGAGATTCACTTTTATGTGAAGGATATGGCCCGCCTAGAGCCAGCAAATATTGCTGATGCAGTGATGTACGCTTTGAGGACGCCACCACATGTCCAGGTGAGCAAAGGTCAAGGGGAATCAATTGAAGAGTATTTATAACGGAATTTGATTGTTTTCAGGTACATGAGATCACCATTAAGCCAATGGGCGAAATATTTTAAAAATTAATGTACTATTTGTATTTAACTTAGACGATAAAATATAAACTATAGCCTTGACAAATAATATTTTTCAACTAAACTTTCACAAACTGTACAAATACTGAGAGCTACCACAAAAAGCATTCAGCTTTTGTCCGACTATAAAAGGACCGTTGTAACATTGGCATAATTTTCAATTTTGGCGGCTTTCACGCAATTTAAAAGAAATGTTTACCTTATAAATTCGCATCTTTAAGCATATTTCATCAGGTAAGTAGCAGCTGATTGCCGGCAAGCACGCACACACTTTAAATGCCATTAATCAATCAGAATTAATCAATCGGCACATGCAATTACACCCACACGCACACACATAAAGTACCGTTGCACTGGCCACTGGAGTGGTGTGAAAAAATTGAAATTCTGATTGCATCTGAAAAAAAAAGAGGCGAAAGAGTTGAACGTGGAGGAGGAGGAGGACAGCGTGCAGGTGAGACTTTATTTACCTGAAGTTTTGATTAATGTTGCCTCACGCCCCAGTTGTCTTTACCGATGAAGTATTTATTGAGCGATGCTTGTATTTATGGCTCTTTTTTACCTCCTAGTGCTAATAACAATGTTTGAGTCAACATGTTGCAACTTGGAAGTCACTTCCGTCGTGATATCCTAGGAAATGTAGGGTATCATGATTTTTAGGTGCAGTTTAGAATTAAACTTAAACTGTAATGCTAAACAAAGTTAAAGGAGGAAGTATATTATTCTCAGCTCTTAAAGAATAATAGAAATTTGTAAAGCTATGATGTTTAGTTTTTTATTTTGTAAAACTTTCCTCAAATCAAGGGTATTAATAGCTTCGTAATTCCTTAACCCCCCTTAAAATGCAATGTTGGCAAGGTCTGCTCAATGCTGCTCCAATTAGAATTCGATTTTTTCGTCCGAATTGAAACAATTAAATCCGCATTAGAGTCACTGCCGGACTCTCGCTGTTGAAATACCGAAACTCGGTGCGACTGGCCTGGCCTGGTCTTAATTAAATCACTTCGATCCGTTCGTTGGCCATTTGCTCATTTGCAATTTGTTGGAATTAGAATGGAGATCTGACCGACGACCAACTGGCACCGCTTGATTAGCATTTTGCAAATTAATTTCTCATTAGCAACAATTTCAAATAATTGGAAGTGCATACGCAATGAGTGCGTAATGGCTTGTTCCATGAAAATGGTCGACTTATTTTCATTTTCATTCAGTTTTCAATGCCTCTCTTACCTTCGGCGAGGCTTACCAGTAATGGAGCCAGACATGGTACATTTTTTATCAGTTAGAAGGGGCTGTAGGGCCTGGTAAATCAATGCAATTAATGTCACTTCCTCTGCATTTAATGTCTATGTTTTCAGTAATCGTCGTTGGCGCCATTAGGCCTCGATATCAGTCTGTCTTCCTGAGTTCTTATTAACCGGTTTTTGCAGTTCCACACTCAGGCAAAAAAAAAAATAAGGATTTTGCGTGACTTTTTTTGGAATAAAATCGACCCTATTATATTTATTTATTTTTAATTATTTATTTAATTTATAGTAAGCCCTTTTTTTAATAAATTAAAATAGAAAATGTAGCCATAATGAGTGTCTTTAAAATAAGACTTACTGTTAATTCCTTAATAATTAATTACTTATAATAAATAAATACAAAATAATAAATAAAAGTGTTCCTTGGAAGACTCCTTAATCAAAGACTTAATATTATTAACTTAGAATGTAATATTTCTTGTAACTTTTAAAAGTTTGTGTTAAAAAAAGATGAGCTTATTTTGCTAATTTTTAATTTAATTATTTACATTTATTTCTTGTACTGTATTTAAAGGAGACAACAGGTCTTTACACATATAATCTGGTCGTCTGCCTTGCTCATGTTAATGATGGTCAGGACTGAAGTGTGTGGAGGCTTTTGTTTTGGTTGGGGAATGTCTTGAATTGATAGGAGCTGAAATGAGTTGGCCATTTCGAGCATCTGGAGGGGATTCAAAGAGATTTAAGTAAGGGAATGTGACAATTGGCTGAAGATATTAGTCAAAGGTATTAAATATACAAATTACAGGTTGTTCAAGTGCTTTTTATTAAAGAAGTTGGTTTAAAGATGTCTAAGCTATGATGAAATAGGTCTACAATTTTTAATTTTTATATACAAAATATTTGTATGAATTAGATTACATAAAGGTATCTCAATTATTATATAATATATTATTTTTAGTATTATATATATATATATTATTATATTCTATTATATTATTTTTAGTAAAGAATCAATAGTTTAAAATTGATTCTTTACTAAAAATTTTGCAAAAGTTTTGCATTTCAATAATTCATTTAAATTAAGATTTAAACACAGTCCTGGTCATGTTTCATAATTTCACCCCGTTAGCTCCATGTTCAATGCTTGAATGCAACCCACTTTGGTTCCCATTCATGTTCGTGTTTTATAGATTCTCATGCAATATCTGGTCACGCCATCTTAATGCTATATTTACTTGTTCCTCCTTTTTTTATAGCTTTATTAGACTTTTTTGGTCAAGTTTTCGTGGTCAATTTCTGGTTGATTCGATTATCTTATGTCTATATTTGGTTGAGCATGAGTTGCTTGCAGTTCCTGGTTAATATCCAGCTAGCACGACTTTAAAGCAATTAGGTTTAGTTGTTCTTCTGCCCTTAAAATTGAACCTTTTGGCTGCATCCTTTGCTCCTTTGGCAAGCAATTGATTTACGCTTTGCTACGCAAATTCTAAGGGAGAGAGAGAGGCAAAGGAGGAGGAACAGACAAACCATTAGCAAAGGACTCAAAATACAAACACACAAATTGGCACACATTTTGCATAGGACTTAGAGGACACACTTTTCGGTGTCCCTTACGCCGTTGATAGCTATTCCTTTCTTGAATGTTTTACAGATGATGGCGAAATAATAGAAACTTAAGCTTAAATTTTCCTTCTAATAGTATAAAAAATAGGTTTCTAATCAATGTTGCTTTTAGTAAAATTTAATACATTTTTGGTATGCTTTACTTTACTTTCATTGAATTTTAATTTCGTTAAATATAACAGAATCCAGATTTATATTCTCCTCACCTGTTGAATTTTATAAATCGTAGTAATATAATATTAAACCCAACTGTACTGCTACCTTAACCCTTGGCTTAACCCATTCTCAATGCAACTCGATGGCGTCCTTGACAGCTACCAAAGACTTTTGTCAATACCACTCCCAACCAGTGGGCCATGGACCAGAGCTGAAGTTGAACTAGAAGGAAGTGGAAAACAAGGTGAAAAATAGAAGGGGTAATAGAAGAAAATACAGGTTGGAAAAGGTGAACACACACACGCACAGCATCAAAGAGCTTTTAATTAATCAAGAGGCAATCCACTTTGGCGCTGGAAAACTTTGGCCAATATGCCAATACCAATTGGAGTAAGTCAACTTACCATTCCATAGCTCCTAGCTCTATTTCACCTTCTTCTCTTTCTCTGGGTTAATACCTATTTCTTTTTGCTTTGAAGCCCCTACTCTGTTGGTCATAGCCCCCACCTGGCTATGGCTTAAATCGTTTTCTTTGTGCTGCTTTCCCATATCTGCCCGGGACATCCATTATCGATTGGTTATACTTTTCTTCTCCTAAACTCTTTTTTCGATTTTACAAAGGCATACTTGAGTGGCTTGCTTGGATTTGTAGAAGTCACTAAACCTACTTTCATAGCGGAAAATGCTTATGTTATTAATTATTAATAATAAATTATTTTACAACCTTTTATCAGCTGGAACTTTTTAAAATTTGACTTAAAAAGATTTAAAGAAACTTTAAACTTATGTATTTATTTTTTTTAATTGGTCAAAGTTAGCTGTGTTCTTTGCAAATAATCTAATCTTAAAACCCATTATGAAAACTCTTAAAAAAATCCACAAAAGTTAAGTAAACGATTAAAAGTAGCCATAAAGTCGTGTAACAAATTAGCCAAAAGATTTGTTAGCCAAGTAACCCAGAAAAACCCAAAAGTATCAGTTGCATTGTAACGGATATGGCAACTCAAAAAAAAGTTAAACTTTTCAGTGCCTGTATAAACATAATTTTCATGGGTCCAAAAGTCTTTAAAAATTAAACACGCGCCACAAAAAGTCGCTTAAAAAGTTGCACCCAAAAATAAAACAAAAAAAGAAATTCTACACGCGAAAGGGAGGCGAAAAGTGAGCGCGTTTTAATTTTTATTTACACGACATAAAATGAAAATCACCCAAGAGCACAAGGGCTAAGCATTTTAAGAGCGTTTAAAAAAGCAAACGTTAAGAAGCAAAATGTGTGTGTAGAGGCGGCACGTGGGTAAATATTTTTACTTAATTAGGCCACAAAAAAAAAAAAAACGCGAAAAAGAGCCTCAAAATTTGCTTAAAAGCGCGTGAAAAGTGTAAAGAACATTTTCTAAAATAAACAAACTCATTTCATTACATTTAAGCCACATGCAAGTGTCCTTTTCCCCGAGAGATAAAAGTGTGACTGCAAAAAAAAAGAAAAAATGTTAGCCAGAGGGTGAAGAACCCCCCCCCCCCCGACATGACAGCTTCCGTTACCCTTTAAAGTTTCATTTCGTTTCGATGCAGATATATATTTTTAATTTCATCAATTCGATTAACAACAAAAGTCACCCACACAAAAGGACTCAAAAGAGAGCAAAATGCAATCATGTTGAAAATATTTGCATATGCCAATACCCTCGAAACTCAGCTTTGCCTCCTTTTGCCGACCGGAAACGGAAGTAAACAATGGCCAGGAACCCGTCACAAAAAGCCGAAAGGGAAAAAGTGCCCCTTCGACGATTTTTCTCTTTACCCCGTCAAAAGAGCCAAAAGCGTTCCAATAAAACTGCACCAAACAATATCGAAAAAAAAACGCTGAAAAAAAAGGAAAATGAACGGCAAAGAAATAAGTCAAGCCAGAAAGGAAGAAGGGCCCGCCATTGATGATGAAAAATCGAAAATGGATGCTCGTTTTTGGATTGCCCATCCATTGTTGGTTCGTTCAGAGAACGGAACTCCAAAAGGGAGAAAAAAAGAATAAAAATCGAATGAAAACGCTGAAAACAAAAAAAGAGGAAAACGTTTCGCACACATGGAAAATGGCTAACTACATGGGACGGGGCGGTACTGAAAATAATATGATGACTAAAGGCAAGGAAAGCGGCATTGTTCCTGTCAAACAAAAAATAAAAAAAGAAAAAATTAATAAAAAAAAAAAAGAAAACCAGAGCCCAAGGGGTGATTGTGCTTTTATTTTTTATAGCCTGGAAAATATGTGCGACTCCTTGTTGATCGATGGCAAGCGAAAACTGAGATACGGCAAATATTTTAAACGAAAAGGGATTTTGTGAAATTGGAAAAGCTAAATTCTATATTCTTTTTTAAGGAAACAATAGAGGAATTAAATATATATATGCTTCAAAAAATATGAAAAATAAGCTCGTTGGGGCTTAATAACTGAGGGAAAATATATTTAAGAATCAATAACATTTTAACAAATTTCTTTAATACTCGTTTTAAATTTTATTTAGTTTCTTGTTCGGTTTTAAAACATTTTTCATTATGTAGTAAGTACTAGTAAAAATGTCTGTGTCTTATTAAAAGTACATCCTAAGGTGGGTTTATTTTTAATTTGTGGCTTCATGTAATTGATAAGGTTCTTAAATTATCTTCAAAATTTCAAAAAGCCTTAGATTAAAAACTTAATTAAAAATATCATGAATGGATAAAAACAGCAAGGTCATTGTTTACGTGACAATCAATTTAATTAGTGAAAGATATCATATTTTTTGGGGTCAGTTATTCAAGATAACTTAAGCAATTGCCTTTGATTGTTTTCTTTTCTTTGTTGTTTTAATTACAAATAAATGAATTAAGCATTAAATGATACTATTACATATTTAAATTATAATTATACGATTATTCTTCTTAATAGCTCTGAGGTATTACAACATTCTGATTGTCTATCTGAAGAAAATTAAAAAGAATCTGGTATTAAAGTGACATAATTTGCATACATGCAACACCAGATTGTGCATATTTTGACACTTTGGCCTGCAGCTGTTTTGGCCAGGGAATGTCAGACAACGACATAGATACAGAATCAGATACAAACTGTGAGATAACCGAGTGCTCATGCCCGGGACAATATTTACCTAGCCGGCTACCGTCAAAGATAAATACCAGTAGATAAGCGTCGGCTTCGTTTTCGTTTTGCAATTCAAATTGCCAACCTCAATGGAAACTTTAGTGTGGCGATAGAAAACTGCGAACAAGATATGGCCAATGAGATAAGCACAAATCACAAATTGAGCTTAATGTCACGGCTTGACAACGAAACATTTAAATTATTGGGTGCTTTGGGTATTATTAAATTATTTTGAAAACTAGTAACTATTCAAGAGGTAGCTCAGGGTTTTCTTTTTATTCATTAATGAAAATTACATTAATTATTCTCAGCAGAAGTATGTTTATCTTGGAGTAACTTGAAGTTTACAGTGTCCTGCAATTTACGATTATAATAAATACTATAGGTAAGATTTTAATTAAATTAAAATTCGCATATACCGAGCACAATGAATTTTTGAAATATTTTATATACCACATAACTTTTCAGTTTTTAAATAATTTAAGGCTTAAATATTTGTTGAAAAATAACAGCTCCTTATGAGATTTTAATCAAAAACACATCTGTTGATGCTGACAGAAGGCTAAGAGTGATATGTACTCCTCACTTAGCCAAGTTCATAGCCCCGAAAATATGAACTTGAGTGTCCGGACATCACTGGCCCTATTCCGGCTCCATTGTTGGCCAAAAACAGCTGCCTGCAACGCATCCATCAAAAGTCAAGCCGGCAACAGTCGCTTCCGACTGGCCAAAAAACAATGGATGGGAACATCAGTCAAGGAGATGTAAGGGACTCCACGAACTGATGAGGTAAACAATGTCAAAAGCCAGTTGCCAAGGGCCCTTTGTTGTGATTTATATTGATGAGGGCAAGTTCCCCGAAGGAAATTGAACGCTCTTGACTCGCAATGAATTGGAGAGCTGGGAGATTGAAGGAGGCCCGGGGCCTCGGCTCTTGAATCCGATTACTGGCCGCCGGCGAACAAGGTCCACAGAGTTCTCATCTCCTTGGCTTCGATTTGGTGCCAGGACACCAGAAGTTCCATCGCTGACACTGGCACTTCGCCGCTCATCAACTTCATCTTCGTCTTTCCGGGATACAGGATATAGGGCTTGAGGTCAGTGATCGTGATATTCGCACGTTTCGACATTATTCCCGTGATGTAGACGTCGTCCAGTCGAAAGTAGGGTGATTGCTGGACCTCCTCGTACAGCCTCTTGGCCACATCTGGGCTATAAATTACCGTGAAGCCCGGACAAAAGTCCGGGTAATGACTATCGGGATATTCTTTGAAACTCACGCGCCACTTGGATTTATAGGATCGTATCACTCGGGGATTGGGATTCTTTGAACACAATAACACCTTCTCTTTCCGCCTGAGAGTATAAGAAAGGATTGTTTTAGGGGCTTCCACTTGTTCCATTAGATTATCCAATAGTAGCCTGGTATTCACAAATATGTCGTCATCGATTTTCATCAGCAACTTGGCGTGGTTGCAGTGCGAATTGAACCACTTGAGAACCATCACATGCTTGTACGTTATATTCACATAAGTGTCCATAAAGTTCCCCTGGAGTAGATCCCCGAACAGGGTCTGTTCCTCAATCAGCGATGTTTGCAATGAATCATTTTGAACGGCTCCCAGGGCAAATATCAACCGCAGGGGAGAGTCTTGGTCGGCACTGAAGTTACCCCAGGTTTCTCTTATCACTGAACGCTTTCCAAAGTGATCTGGAGCCGTGTGGATGAGGATTAATCCTTGGGTCTCCACTCCACAAGATGGTTGCTCTATCGTATATGAGAAGTTTACAAAGTCCATCAAGTGTTCTTCATTTGTGGGATTTTCCGAATATTTTTCTTCCTTTAATAAGGGCTCCTCCGCGAAATCCGTTTTACCAGGAGTTATCAGGTAGATCATAAGGAGCACTTTTAGCAAAATAATGAAAACGATTACGGATCGCATGGCGGCCATAGTTTCCGAAATATTTTTACGATCCGTACCGGATGGTAACCCGTATCCAACTAGACGGATTCCCGCTAATCAATAGCCTATACTTGTCAAATATATGTATGTATTTATTGATAGCGCACGGCGACACTGTTTGGTTTATTTTTGGTAGGGCCTTAATGCCCATATGACACTGGTTTTAAATGAGTACTTAAATATAAATGTGTGTAAAGGTTTATAAAAAAATATATAAAAATTCTATTGAATTTGCCTAAATTTTTATTGTAATTTATTTTAAACTTTTTGTACTCTTTTTTTTATAGATTACTTACAGTGTCATACATACACGCCTTGCAAAGGGGGGAAGGGGGCATAATCTACTATCAGTTTACCTCTTTAGATAGAGAAGTTCAAAAAAATTACACTGTTGTTAATGATGATAGAGTTCTAATAAAAAATATCATAAGTTGCTATATAGATTAAGGAAACAAAGGAAAACTGGCACATTTTTAATTAAAAAAAAAATTGATTAATTTTGGTTGTGGGTAAGAAATGCTTTGTCAACTTCTAACTAAATTTATAATACCCTGAAATAAATTTATAAATTATATAAATGTAAATGTTAGGCAATCTTTGAATTCCTCTTTGTATATTTAAATATCCAGGAGTGATTTCCTTCATCACACTGACAACTTTCGATTTCGCTTTTAGAAAGTAGCTTAACGTCTGCTTTTTTCTTACTGCTGCATGGCCTTTCGCCTGCAAATTAAATGCCCGTTACGTCAATTTCTGCGCGACTAAAGTTTTCATTTTCATTTTATCTTACTTGTTTTTATTTTCGAGTTTTTCTTTTGTTCCAGCGGAATCGGTTTTTTTCCCGCCTGTTGAGCATAATTTGCATGGCCATGCAAATTGTTGAGGATTTTCATTTAATTGATGGCAATTGCAACAATGTTGCAGATTGTACACAATGCGTGTACGCTTTTATACAATATTATGGCAATTAATGCATTTACTTATTCTTATTTAATAATCCCAGCTGCTTTATATTTATTTTAATATTTATTAAAGTGTCGGAAATTTGTGGAATTTATGTGGGGGTGAGAAAGGGAAATGGAATAATGTACTGTATTCAGACTTTGAGACCTTAAAACAACCATTTATTACAATGAAAATGGATGAGATGTATAGACTTAATATTTTATTGGGTGTTTAAGACAACAAAAAAACAAAGGTAAACATAAATACGCATCATAATGGCATAAAAACATTGAATTTTAAATGCAGCCAAATTTATGTTAACCTTATAAGGCCCATGTGCTCCATTTCCGCATTGTACTTAAGTGGCATCGATCGAAATGTAAAGTTACCAATTTGTTTCTCTTACTCCAAATATTCAAATTAACTCAATTTGTCAGATCGCGAGCTGCTGCCACTTGGCCTTGACCATTAAAAGTGGGAATCATAATAAAGACTGACTCATCGGAGATGCAGTGGGGCCTTTGACACCTACTACGCCCCTCACAGCTCACAGCTGCCCGATTTTCCAGATGGTCTCGAAACCAGTTTCGCGTTAATCGATCGCCCTTGAAGATCGCCTGCTACTTCTGTTGAGTTTTCTGCCTCGATTCAGGTCTCATTCACAAGATGCACAACAAGTTTAGGTTGGTTTTTAAGTATTCCTCACATTTTTTTCTGATTTTTTCTGATTTTTTCTGATTTTTATTATGCATATAAGGCTTTAATTGGGTATGTCGGAGTACCGGGGGCAACCTTTGCGGGCCTGTAATTTGTACCTTCCGAAGACCTTATCAATTTATCAAAAAACGCGGTCCCCATTCGTCTTGCATCTCATTAAGGGTCCATGATTATTTCAGGTCTGACAGCAAAATGTCAAAATATTGTGACATGATGTACGTACATCTTTATAAGACAGACGAGTGTGGGAATGGTGATGGCACTTTAATTGGGGTACTTGTATTTTTTATGAGCCTAAAAAGGCTGTAATTTATTATGAAGGCTTTTCGGAGGAAGACTTGGGTATGTGTTTTTGGATTTTATTAATTTTTAAATTGACAATAAAACCAGAAAATCTTTACTTTGATATATAAAATACTTAGGGTATATCAATTATAAAATATCTTTAAAAACTGAGAGATCTTAAAGATTTATTGTATACATAAGCATAAAAAACCCAAATAAAATCCATTTCGTGTTCATTTTTGTAGAAAATAAAAGTCAATTAAAGCCATTTTCATTTATACCATTTAAAATATATAGAAACAAGAGGCATTAGAAAGAAAGCTCAATAAGGAAATAGATTGCCATAAAGTTCTTTTCAGAGCAAAATTCAAACAGCTGCCATTGGCCATTTATCAGAATCAATTTGACCCACTTATGGCCACTTTTTTCCATTTCGTTGAGCCAATTTTTCAGACCATAACGACACACAGCCAAGCTGAAATCGACTTTGACTTCACCTTCCTCACAAAATGGGAAACTTCAAACACATTTATATCGGCCGCACATCGCATTTCGTTGCGAATTTCCTTTAATTGCTGCTAATTTTTGCTAAAAGGCGAAAAAAAACTCACAGAAATCTCTGCAACAATTGGCCAATTGCAATCTTCATTAGGCTTATCTTTTGCACTCAGCTTATGCGGCCTTTCGGTTTTCAACGCCAATTTGTGCAAGTTTTTCACATAGTTTCATTAGCCTGCTGGCGGTCTGGCGATTTCCGCAGTCTCTTTGCATACTTTGTTTGATTTTTAATTGTCCTAAGTGCTCTGGGTGTAATTTGTTTATATGGCAGGGGAAAGGTGAGGAAATTACTTTATCCTATCCTAGCAACTTCAGTGAATCAAATCAAAAGTCTAAGTAAATATAAACCAAATTCAGTGCATCAAAAAATACAATGGATGACGACGAAATTGTCGGCGGGGATGTTTATGCCCATTTACTCAAACGCCATTTGTACAATTATCCCATGGATGGAAGCCACAAGAAGTGGGTGAAGCCCCAAATAATGATCTTATTCGCCAGCGGAGATTTGGACAAGGCTTTGGAGATCATTGTCAAGGACCTGAGGCATCCAATCGGAAATGGTTTGGTGGTCAGCTTGCTCGTGGAGGAATGCATCCGGGAAGAGGTGATCAAGAGGCTGCGTGCTGAGATGCAACCCATGGATACACGCATACAACGGCATCCGCAATATCTCAGATCAATGCAGATCATCGACCGCCTGCACTGCCAAACTGTTCACATGGAGGAATTCGACGAAGAAGATACGAAACAGCGAAATGGTCGCCGAATACAGGGATCCCCGATAGTAGTCTTGGACTTCCCCCAGTATTATTTTGGAGATACGCCCACGGCTGTGATAACCATGAATACCTTTCGAACGCTCAGCGAAGCGGTACGACTTTACAGGAGAGAACGGATTAGCTTTGAGGCGACTTCTGTGTGGTCCGGGAAATTGGCTCAGTGCTTCGATATGGTGACCAGAATTCCGGAAGCCACGAACTGGACTTTCAACAGCAGTAGTCACAACATTAGGAAACCCACCATCACCAATTCTGTGGTTTTTGTCGAAAGAAACGTTCACTATGAGTTTCATGAAATTGGTGGCAAGATGCACACCATAGCCTTTCCCACTGTCCCTGCCTTGCAGGCTCTTACTGCAACGGAGAGTAAGTATAACTTTCGCAGAGACTGATCTGTACGAAATAAGGCATTTAAATTTTAAATGGAAGCTGGTTTTTTGAGATAATCTAGATAAAATGAATAATAAATGTTGTATTAAAGGAAATGTTCTATTCTTTGGCTTTGACAACTCTTTGGATTTTGTTGCCCTTGTTTGCATTTCCTTGATTCTTGCCGCAGCTTTGCGCTATTTGTCCAGATCCCCTCACCTTCAACCCTCCATCTCGAATCGAATCGAATCTTTATGCAAATACTGAGAGCTGTAAGCCAAGCGACTGACAATAAGCGAACAGCTGCTTGGGCACACACGGCCAAGTGCTTTTGGCCAACTCCAAGTAGCTGCAATGTTTGCCCTCGGTCTCGGTTTGTCTGCTTTGGGTGCTTGGCCTGGCCAAAATTGTCACGTTTTGGTCAGTGGGCTAAAATGTTTGCCAGCTGTTGCAAATGCAGTTGGCAGCAGGTCAAACAAGCACCAAATTTCAGTGAATACAATGACAACAAGGCAATATTGGGTTTAAATTAGATGAAATAAGGGAAGTATGGATTAGGAAATCAATTACAATGAGTAGTTTTGCTAATTTAAAAGGATTATAGTTTCTAGCAACCATTTAAAAGACGTTATGACCATCATAATAAAAATTAGAAATAGTTCAAACGCTTAGTATTCTAGTAAATTATTTATTGTTTATTTAATAAAATATTTAAAATATTTAATGACTCTTACTTGACTTTAAAAACAACAACAAACACCAAACAAATCTTTAAACGTATTACTTTAAATGCCAGTTTTAACTTGATCAATAAACAAATAATTGAATCGATAAAACAAAGCTCTCAAATATGCTCTATGAATTACAATTGAAACCCAATCGTCTGTGAAAAATTTAATATTTATGACCAAAATTATTCCCTGCCCCGAGAGCAATGACATGTAAATATTTGATTGGCCAAATTATGCAATAAATGCAAATATTTAATAGCAAATGCTTTTTGGCACACCTCATGCGAGTGTCAAACGTAAAATTCATACCTATTCCAATTGAAAAGTAATTAAGATTTTTTACGCAATTTTACGCAAATTCAATTTGGATAGAATGCCGCGGGCGCTTAAATTTACACGTCATAATCATACAAATAAACGGAGTAAATGGAAAAATAAATAAATGCGATTTGGCATTTTTAAAACCACAATAAGGATTCAACTGACAAAACAAATTTAAATATAGCTGTCATTTAATGGAATGTTAAAATGTGTGAATAAAACTAAAGAGACACGCATTGGCAGGCGCTATCCCGGAATCTGGATGTCAAATCTGGCCAACTGACAATGAAAGCAGGAGGTGGAGCAGCCGGCATTCAGCAGCAGTGAAACGTCAAGTTCTACAGCAAAATAAATTGTTTTCGTTACACAATTTTTTGGTGTTATGCGCGCCACTTGACTTGTAAACGGGCGATGGCCCCGACAATGGCCAGCCAGGATAACCACAAAGGAGAAGGAGGAGGGCAGACGGGCAAGGAGACGGCAGCCGGGATAAGGGAAAGGACCTCAAAGAGCTTCCATTGTTGACCCAGTTATGGACCACAAAACAGTCATCTCGCACAAATAAAATACAGGAGATACACCTGAATTAAAAGTACATAAACTTGATTACGTTAATAAATAATATATTAATTTTAAATAAAAATACATAAAGTATTATAAAACACCAAAGTAAATTAATTAGATTGGTTTTTCACTATGTTTTTTGATTATTCGAATTCTTATAAGTTTAGAAATACCTTATAAGTATTTTTGAATGCTTAAAAATTAAATAATTATAAAGTTATACATTTTTACTGAACAAAGAATATCTAAATTTGAAGAAAATTAACCGGAAATTAACTATTGTTTGTAATTGTTTAAAGTGCACTCTTGGCCATTCTTCATCTCGAGAATCTTTCCCGCTAATGACAGCAACTCAAGTTTTGTGGCTGCTGAAAAGTATGCTATGGCAAATGTGCTGACATAACGGCAAGCATAAAAAATTAAAGATATATAAACCAAGAAGCAAAACAGGAGAGCTGTGAGAGAGAGAGGGGGTAGCGAGAAGTGGGTGTGGGAAAATGTTGACCATAAAACTGGCAGCGAAAAGCCACAAGCACAGACAGCATGACGCCCAGGGGAAAGTTTTCCGAGACAGGCGAGGAAATGCGGAGCGGGAAAAGCCAGAGGCCCGTAGTAGAGCCCCAGACCAGAAAGCAGAACAACAAAGTTTCCTTGGGCGGCGAAATTCTGGCCAAGATGTATGCTTTAGCTGGCCAAAGTTGAACACATTAAATAGCCGGATTAGTTTTGGGAATGAATAAACAAATATAATTGAGTTTTGGAAGCTGCAGGAGCTTAAGCTGATAAGGCCAATGAATAATGGAAAATAAATTTTAACTACCACTGAATTTATTTAGACAAGTGTTTAAAGCTTCAAGTTGAAGTGTTTTCTTACATAACCACAGGGTACCTTTTAATTGAAGAAGGTAAGAGTCTTTGTTGTCCTTTAAATTCGTTTTAGGTAAGTGTATGTATCATATAACCATTCATGTATCTACTAAACCAAACTTATTTTAAATGAAAAGTTCAACAAATAAATTCTATACAGCTCAATTTCATCAGAATTTTCCCTTGAAAGTAGCATTCAGCATTCCCTTTTAACTTGATACCCGAACCACATAATCAACTCAACAACAACTATTTACACAAAACTCCCATTGACGGCAAATTGAATGACCTTCTACCACACAACATCATCAAGCCCCCAAAACAATTCAATTCAATCTGCGAACATTGCGGGCTGAAAGTCAACTTGGTCCATAACTACAAATGATTAGTTTTTCTGGTCGGTCGACAGCAGATATTTTGCCGCATCCGCCCATTTTCTAAAATATTTTCAACTAAGTGAGTGAAACTAAAAATCTATTATAACTTTTCCGCACACAAAAACGTCAAAGTTGTATGCCCCTCGCCCTTTTTGCAGGCAGGGCTCATCCTCGGCCAGGCTGGGGTGTAAAAGTTTTTCCATGGGCCAACGCGGCGTATGCGGAATGTGCTGCCAATTAGAAGTTTATGTGCGAGTTAGAGCGGCGGGCAAAAGGGCGCCAAATTAATTTTCCATCCCCCTCTTAACCCCTCTGCCGCAGTCAAAAAAAGTTTTAACTCAATTTTTTGGCATGTCTGTGTGTGCGTGTTAATTAAATGGAGAGGCCGAAGGGGGTTTTTCCTAGCTTGAGCTTCAACATTTGTTACCTTAGCAGTTTTGTCAGTTTATAATAATTGACTGCGTGACCTGTTGTTTAGGCGAGAGGCCGTAATGGGTTAAAGGTAAATCTCAGACACGACCGCAGTAATCCTCAACAAATGTTGCATACTTTGCGGCGACTTAGGGGCAAGCAATTCCAATGTTGGAATTAGTGGGGAAGAAGGCCTATTTCAAGTGAAAATGTTTAGAAAAGGGTAAGAAAAACAGTTTATAATTAAGTATATGGTTTTTTATTTATTTAAAAGTTATACAATTTTTTTTTAATATTTACAATACTTTTATTTATAGAGCTAGATATTCTCTAGCCATATTTTATAGAGGTTATAAATACTTGACGCTTAAGAGTTGAATTACAGATGTAATTCCCTTACATAATATGGTACTTGTAGAAATTTATTTTCAAAAAGTTACTCCACTTTATCGTGCCTAAGTTGTCCAGATTTGTAGCTTCCTCTGGGGAGCTTCCTTTCCTCTAAGCTTAAACAGTTCTCCTGCGCATCCAAAGTTGGCAATGAAATATGCGATTGCACTTCCCATCCACGAGTAAACCCCATTAAATGCCACTTACTGTCCTTAATAGTTTGCTTAGGCAACAATATGTTGCCCGCTGTGGGTAACTGCGGTAGCTCCTCCAGTTAGCCCCTCTTTTAACACCCCGCTCTAGCCAGTGCCATGAATCAGATGTCTAGCCAGCTTTTACCACATTAACCTCGTGTTTTACGACATGCCAGGCCGCATGAGAAATTTATTTACATTTCATGGCACTGGCAACATGTTGCACTGACTCGTTATATATAGCTACAGCTATATGTTATGTATGTGCTCGACCCTGTGTCGGTCTATATATGTTTGACACGAGTCCAAAAAGGCCGGAGCGGTCCCCACAATGCATAACTCAAAGTGCAGGCAAACAGCTGGCAAACACCAGGAGGCCGAGTAGAGAGCTGGGAGTTCCAAGGCGGAGGAGTAGCCCAAGTCAAGTTGATTCGGCTTGAGTGCGAGGGTAGCTAAGGTAGACTTTAAAGGTGGAGTTCTTACCATAGAAAATATTCAGAATATATTAAAATATTTTTTATAATTTCTAAAATTTATTTCAATTTTTAAATATTTATTTTTATATTAAGCTGCCTCTCTGAAAGAACCTACATTTTCCTACATATTTTGCGGTGTAGCTTAGTGGGATTTACCATCTCCATTCAGCTCTTTTCCGCTTTTCCAGTCCCGTTTGTCACTCTTAAGCAAGCGAAAATTCTATTTAAATTTTCTTGTTGCCTTTTTTTTTTTTGCGCCACCACTTTTTGCCAATAAATTTGTTGCCATAAATTTGGCTTCGCTTCGAAAAAGAAGCGAAAAGCAGCCGTGGATCGTGTGAGCGCTGGCCAAGCCTTAAATGTGAACTGCTGCCCATTCCGCCCCTTATCCCGCCCTTCTCGGCCCACAATTCATCTGGGGCAGTTTTTAATTGCGCCATAAATCAAATCTACGATAAATGGCAAGCAGTTAAAGGGCTGCTAACCAAATGGGAGCCATAAGCTGATAACAGACTGTGGCGCGAAAGGGTTGCCGGGCGAAGGGGGTGGCTGAGGGCGGTAGGTGCCTGCGATAAGCGACACGCCGTCTGGCGGCGGCTGCTTTAAAATGTCAAAGTGCCGCCATCGCATCCGGATTCTGTCTCCGGAATCCTGTGCCATATCCGGAGTCCGGATCCTCGCCGCAGCCTCCTTAGCCATTCTCGTCGCGTTTAATTTTAATGCCCATGGAGACGGACGACAGTCAGCGTAATCAAGCCTCTAATTAAGTTGATAAACT